ATGTTCAATTGACGTGCGAAGGTAAAAATGCAAGCAAGACTGGCGAAATAGATTGACAGACACAATACTAAAAATGATCGACAGTCTAGTCGACGCGAGAGAAAAAATTCAATTTTTGCGATGCAGTTTTTTAACGATGAAAATCTGTAAAAAAAGTTATAAAGAAAAAAAGGAAGAGCTTTTCGAGATTTCATCTTTGGTGTACTGAAAAAAATGACTAAATTAATACATATTTAGTTCAATACTCAAATGAATCAGTTATTTGAAACAAATAAATATTTATTTGATTTAAAAAGGATTTTCTTATGTGAAATAAATATTTTTCATATCGAATAAATATTATTAGTTTCAAATAAATTATTTATTTGATAATATTGAAATAAATACTTATAAGAATTAACTAAATTTTTTTTCAAAAAAATTACTAAATTAATACATATTTAGTTCAATACTGTGTCAAATGAATCATTTATTGAAACAAATAAATATTTATTTGTTTTGAAAAGGATTTTCTTATAACAAATAAATATTTTTCATATCAAATAATTAAATATTATTAATTTCAAATAAACAATTTATTTGACAGTACTGAAATAAATACTTATAAGAATTAATTAAATTTTTTTCAGTGTATATAGAATAGGAGGTTCTTTCTACCTGTATATCGATTATCGCGACTGTCAAGATTAATTTAAGGAGAGAAACCGCGCCTATCTCTGCTTCTTCGACCTAGATAGCGAAATATCCTATTCAAACACGACAGGAAATCCTGTTGCTCTGAAACGGATATTTCTCTCTCCGTCGAGAATCTCTCGTATTAGGAATGCGATAAGTCTCTCGAATCGTCTCACGTGAGGTCGTCTCTCGTGAGCGAGAGAGTTAAACAACGGTGATCCGCAGTTTTTACAAAAGAAAGCGTGTAATAACAGAGTTCTCGCGTGCTCCTCTCGGCTAAATTGCGATTATAATTCGCTACGCAGAACACGATACGGCTTATCGGCAATTTTACTAATTTATTTCTTTAATTAACTGGATCGTTCTCGTTACAGATATTCCTGCACGGTTGGAAGATCTCTATCTTTAAAAAAAAAAAAAAAAAAAAAAAGCATTTACATTTTTCGAATGCAACAAATAAATTTCTTCGTGGAATTCAGCCGATGGCTGAAATTACTCGCGCGCAGAGATTTTCTCTCTTGAAGTATTCTATATCGGAATCGCGGAGATGGAATAGAAATTGTGGATGCAGCAATACGGAGAGTATATAGTCTTGTGTTAGGACGAGGTTTGCGTGATGCGTATAGCACGTGTGCAAATGAAAGTGAGAGAGTTTCCTGCGGCGCTTCAGGAAACGCTGCTTCGGATTCGATCAACAAGGCAGATTCGACAAACAAGCCTTAAGTAGATTGAATTGAACGTAGAACGAGGAAGCGATCTGCGCGATTTTTATCGCGTTTTCCCCGGCAAAAACACCACGGAATGAGCTCGCATCGTTAATTGTGTAGATTCGCATATGAGAGATATGTTAACATAGTATTCAAAAAATTACATATATTTAACAAATCTTAAGATAAATAGGGTCTTTTAATAGTTATGAGAACTTTATAAAATTTTAATAATAAAATATAATTTTAAATAAAAAAATTTAAATAATAAAAATTTTAAATTTAAAAATTAAAAACACAAAATTAATAACACAAATTTTTGTGCACCGTTTAAGACATGTAATATCTGTTAAATTTAACACAAAGTTTTCAACTGTGCTCTAAAAACAAGCGTGTGAGTACTTTTTAAACATTTGATGTGAGTAATCCTTGTATAATAGCATTTTACACACTTTTCATCAAGTTTTTTAAAATTATTTTTTTAATTATTTTTTGTTATTTAAAATCTTATAAAGTTTTTATAAGTATTAAAAGACACTATTTATCTTAATAATTTTTAAATATATGCAATGTTTTAAAATACTATATGTTAACAATTCTCATATGTAATAGAAAAAAACTTATATTGCGTTTAGAATAAATTCATAACTAATTTTCAGTTAATGTGTAATTTTTTTCGTAAATTTGATACTCCCGAAACATGTAATTTATTTAACATATATTTGTAAAATTAATGTGTAATTTTATTTTTACATGATTGTAGGTTATAAAGTGCAGTGTTTTCAAATTACAAGATGATGTGTTATTGCAAGTATAAAACATTGCATTTGAAACACATAAAAAATAAATATTGTATATTAAAATGACATACTTTATTGATGCGTTGCAAATTAAATTGGAAAATGCAATCTGTTTCTAATTTTACATATTTCGTATTATTTAAAGTGTCGTAAAATTTGAAGAATCTGAAATATTAAAGATTTAGCGAAGAAAATAAATAACAAAAATAAAAAAACTCGAAAGCCATAAATGCTAGTAAATGCTAATCGGGATATAATATGCTAATTAAGAGATATCGATTAAACGATGTTAAAGTAAGAGTAGATAATCTTCAGGCGAAAGTAATTTAAAAAATATATGTTGAAGAATATATCTTAAAGAAAATATAAGAGAATATTTTTTCAAACCTAATTTAGTAAATACACTAAAAGAAAAATTTATTAAATTCGAATAAGTATTTATTTCAATATTGCCAAATAAATCATTTATTTGAAACTAATAATATTGATTTGATTTGAAAAATATTTATTTTATATATAAGAAAATCCTTTTCAAAACAAAGAAATATTTATATTTGTCTCAAATAAATGATTTATTTGATAGTATTGAAACAAATATTTATTAATTTAATAATTGTTTTTCAGTGTATCAATATTTCTTGACCTGTTTCTAATTAATCTGTTCAACTGCGCTTTTTTATTAAGAATAAAATTTATTGGATTGCGCCCAGGAAGAGAGAGAAAGAGGGACTGATGATTGGATCATTTAAGATTAGTCCGCACAAAACTCGGCGATTTGGACCATCATTCACATACAGAATTGCAATAAATGACACTTTGCGGCGAGTTTCGATTTTCTCGCTCTACAGAGGCGATAGAAAAAAATATGGGCGTTTCTAACCGCGGAAAATTAGCCGACACAAATTCCACGAAACAACCGCACAATGAACGGCACGTTAATTTGCAATCTTCTTTAATCGTTCGGCATTTTTAAAGGCATTTTTCAAGAATTTGCTTCGTCGCTAACATGGAAAAAATTAGCTAAATTTATAGCTACATTTTAGCTGTCCCTATATTTCAAATAAAATTTAGTTATCATGCCTAAATTTTAGCTATGATAGCTAATATTTTTTAGCTATAGCATTCTCCGTTAAATTATAGCTAAAAAATATTAGTTACTATAACTAAAATTTAGACATGATAATTAAAATTTAGGTTGTAATATATATGGACAGCTAAAATTTAATTATAGTAGCTAATTTTTTTTCCGTAAAACAGTAATTTCGAAAAGTCAAACAAAATTGACGATAAAATAAAATTGACAAGAGAGAAAGAGAGAATAGAATGTATTTCTTATAAAGATAAAATATTATTGAACGAATTTACATGGTAAAAAAATGGAAGAAAAAATTACGCACTTACACTGAAAAAAAGATTTGTTAATTTGACTAAACCTTTCAACTAAATCACTATTTTATTAAATTTAATATATTATACATATTTAATTTAAATATTTTTTATGTTCAATTAACAAAATAATATTTGGTTGAAAATTTTAGTTAAGTTAACAAATTTTTTTTAGAATAGAATGTATTTCTTTTAAAGATAAAATATTATTGAACGAATTTACACGGTAAAAAAATGGAAGAAAAAATTACGCACTTACACTGAAAAAAAGATTTGTTAATTTGACTAAACCTTTCAACTAAATCACTATTTTGTTAAATTTAATATATTATACATATTTAATTTAAATATTTTTTATGTTCAATTAACAAAATAATATTTAGTTAAAAATTTTAGTTAAGTTAACAAATTTTTTTCGTAGTGCACTAAAAAGATCCTAAATATTTGGACGTATGAGAAATACATACGTATATAAAAAATAACGAAAGAAATGGTGTGATGCGATAAAGTGTGCATGGCTAAGTTTTTCGGAGTCATTATATAGACGCGCGTCTGTAGTTGTATAGTGAAAGCCGATATTTCGAATCGGAGAAAAATATCGGAGAAACTGGTTGAAATCAGTTTACGCCTAGGTGACGGGCCATGCATAATGTTGCATATGCAACCCGTCGTTACGTAATGTGTCGCCGATATACTTAGCTAAAAATATAATCCTCTAAGGAATACAAATATAATCAGCAGCATGATTCTAGATTGATTAATGAAGAACCAGAAGTCTGGTTGCAGATAGAAGACGATTCTATTTTCTTATCCTTCAGAGTTTATGGAACATTACTGTTTCCAAAACGACACATGTTCCTTATACGCTTCATTACGCACGGAGAGAGAATTTTCTCTTAGAATTTACCCTGGAACTCATGCTAATCGTAGAACAATATATGATATTGGAAGAATATATATATATATTATATAATATATATTATATAATATATATATATATATATTGTATAATAATATATATTATATAATATATATATATATATATATATATATATATATATGTATAAAAAATATTAACATGTACATAATAAAATTAATCAAACATATTTTATATCTTATTGTGGTATAGATATTAATACTTTTACATTACATATATTGTGCATTATATTATATATTTTTATATTATATGTGTTGTCCCACGATTACCATGATTTCCAGGGTAAACCTAAGAAAAAATTCTCTCGATGAGCTCCAAATATTTAAGAACACATTTAGAAAACACACCTCATCATAAATCCTCGTTCTTCAATAATTTCCAGCGGTCACAATTGAAAATTTATTCGCACCGTATTTAAAATTTGCAAATTTTTCCAAAATAATAACGATCCATTAATTAATGTAAAAAAAAAAATCTAGAATAAAAAGGACTGACCTGTATAGTACGGCGACCAGGAATGATCCTCGCAGTCGCTCTTCGATCGTCTCGCGCTCGACGATCCTCGCCAAAGGATCTCTCTCGCTGTCGCTCGCTGTCGGACGTTCCTCTTCAGCCTCTTCAGGAGGATCTAGCGGTCCCCGCGAACACGCGTGTCTTCGCGCATGTTAACGCACGAGTGCGGACGGTCGCACGCGCCGAAAATCATGCTGTCCTGAGAAAACGCGAGGCTCTTCTCATCGTCAGGCTGGACGCCGACGACGCCCGGTCATCGATTCCGACGTGTCGCGTCGCGTCGATCCACCGAAACCCCGAAGGATATACACACAGCAAGCTGCACACTTTCTCCTGCCAATTGCACACCACGCACACGTTCGCGAAGTTCGACGGCTTCCTCGACTTTGCTAGATCAAACGAGGTGGGAGTAGCTCGGCCACGTGCCACCGAAACGGAGAGAGGTCCTTTCGCGGGAATGATTTCAAATGATTATGTAAATTATCATGTGCAGGACAACGTTGGAAAATGCTTGGATTCTTTGCGAAATGTTTCCGGAAACAGTAATTAATAAAAGCTAAATATTAAAAAAAAAAAAATGCGTTGCCCGCTTACAACGTTTGTTAGAAACGCTTTGCACGCGAAATTGATCTCTTCGAACATCGCTAGGAGTTTCAAATTTTCGAACTTAATTTTTCCCGAATTGTTTGATGAAGTATTTAAATGAATGTTTATGTACCGCGACGCGAAATTTCGGAGCACACCGTCGAATTTTGTATTTTTGATTTTGATTTTTGCACCAAATCACTCGCCAGGATCCAAGATACCGTGTGCCCGTACCGACGAACTATCCTGGGATTAATATCGGATTCAGTCAACCTCGCTCCGTGGAAGCGATCGTCAGACTAAAGTCGTCGCACCGCTGGTAAGAGTACGTGCATGAGTTTCTTATCCCTTCTGTCAGCACGAGAGATCCCCTCTTTCTTTCTCTCCTTCGTCCATCGAAGTCTTCGCTCGTTCCGATACTATTCTGCTCGATTTGTTTATCGACTAGATAAACAAATCTTGTGGAAACATAAAGTCTTCATTAATTAAAAAATAAAATATATATATATATACATATATATATAAGAGAACATTTTCTCTTAGAATTTATCTTGAAAATTATGATAATCGTGAAACATGATGTTAGAAGAATTTAAGAAATAAGAGATAAGTTTCTCTAATTAATATATTTACATTTATATTTAAATGTACGATAAAAAATCTATCACAATAAATTATAAAATGTTTAATTAAAAGTTTACTAAATTTTACTATGTACATATTAATATTAATTATTCAAAGAAACTCTCTTATAAAATTCTTCTAATATATTGACCCATAATTATCATGATTTTCAGGGTAAATTCTAAGAGAAAATTCTCTCTGTGCATAAATTTAATTTTCTACGCATTAAACAAGTTTGTAAAAATTAAATCACATTTTCTGAAATTAGATCTTATTGAATAAAAGTTACTTTTTCCGCAACATACATACAAATTTTACATCAATTTTAATATATTTTAATATAATTATATATATATATATATATATATATATATATATATGTATTTTTTTTTAAATATAATTTAATATATTTTATTTTACTTCATATTTCACAATTTTTATTTTTATTTTATTTTATTTTTAACCTTAGGGAATTTTTTGACACGAGATTAGGCAAATTTTTTTTGTCGCATGACAGATAGTTTTCTCACGCCTTTTTAATGAGCGCGCGTGTGCGCGAAAGTAACGCATAAATCATCATTCACAAGTCGCTGCTGTGCGTAATAATTATCCCTAATGAAGGAATACAAAATCATCACGCGATATATCGCCTCGAAGTTAAAATCGTGCGAAATGCCGGGTATTATAGCGTCGCTTTCGATGAACGTTGCCGAAATCGCACGCTCGCTTTCAACAATCTTATAATCACCGCTCTGTCAGCGCCGAAGGGAAAAACAGGCGTAGAAAACCAGGCGGCGATTATCGTGGCGATTATTTAATAATCTAGCTGTTTCAAATTTTAATAAAATTTTCAACTAATAATATATATATATATATATATATATATATATATGTCATTACGTATAATCTGTCTAAATGTTATGTTTCTTTTTCTAAAAATTCTTGGAATTTTTATGCAGGAGGAAAGTTCAATACTCGAGATAATTATTGCTCGTGACAGGTAATGGTTTTAGCGATTGCACGTGTTAAATTCCATGTATGATTTAATCTAGTATTAAAACATAATAAACGGAACACATATGCAAATGTGAAATTTAATCGAGGCTTTTTATGGGAACGACTCAGTGCAATGAAATGTAGCAGACGGACCGGACGGGAGTAAGAGGTTTGCAATAAGAAGTCGAGAATCAGTCGAGAAAAGTGCAGGGGAAAAGTGAGCTGGGCGACCTTCGCGACAATTCACTTACCTATACCTTCTGTCCGATCTCTCGAATTCAGCCCGTATACTTGCAACTGCCCGACTTTTCGTCAATGCCTTTTCTGCGATCGACCGACACTGGACAACGATTCCTGCAATCAATATCCAAAAAAATATCTTATATAATTTCTCATAATAGACACAGTCTAATTTTAAATGCAGTACCTTTCATAAGTTTGGAAACACCTTACATTTTACAGTTGAATTGCATGACAGCGATCTGTTATAAATAAAAATGCCATTTAAATATTTTATGATTTATTTATACCAAAAATCTGCACAGATCTGTCAAAAGGGTCCTCTTAATTTAAGAGAAAAATTCTCTAAAGAAATATTCTTTAATTAGATATTCGTATAAATGCAAGAATATAAATTTAAGGGAATGTTTTTTATCAGAATATTATTTAAAATATTATTAAGCGTGATAACAAAAAACAGATTTATAAATGGACATTTGTTATTTATTGCATACAGAACTCTTCACAAGTTTGGAAACACTTTAGATTTTACAGTTAAACACTTTACTTTTAACTTTTTTTTAACTTTTAACTAATTAACTAGTTATTATATCCAAGCCTGTGTATTACATAGTAAAATTTACTATATGAATCTATATATATTAATATTTTTTATTGTGGTAAATATTAATTAGAGAAGCTCTTATAAAATTCTTCCAATTGTCCCAGGATTACTATGATTTTCAGGGTAAATTCTAAAAGAAAAAATTCTCTGTGTACACTAATAACAAAGGAATAAAAATATTTTTCAAAATTATAATTTTGTAATTATAGAAAAAAAGAGAAAAGAAAATGAATTCCAAAGTGAAGAAAATTAATGTCCACTTGAAGCTATTGTAAAAAATCTTATTCTTTAATTTATCTTAAAATCACGTGTAATTATAGATTTTTGCAGATTTCTTGTTTGAAAAAAATTAAACATTTTTATTTATATATCTCTGCTCTTCAAATTCCCAATTTATTCATCAAATGTAAAATTATTGAATAGAATTCGAATATTTTAACACAAATTTTTCTGCTGCAAACTCAGTCGAGCAACTTCGTCTCGTTCGCGAGTTCTTTCTGTCCGCCGGAATATTTTTCAACGGTTCGGCTCTTGAGAGTTAAGTTCTCAACGCAACAATGTTCGGTAATCGGCACGAATCTGTCAGCACGTCGCCGATCCTTCGCATTGTAAGCACAGAAAATCTCGGAGTAGCGGCGCAGAGCGCTAAACCTGGCAGCCGCTTTGCAGAGAAAGGCGGCCACCCACCGGCTTACACAACTTCTTTGCTCCAGTTATTAGTATGTGACTCTTATTTTGCCAGTCGCGGCCGACCTGACGAACCGATTGTCACTCTCGAGAAAAAAATTTGCGAAAGCTGAATCACGGGATAAATCGTGCCGCGACCCTCAATCTAGTTTTTCCCGCGCGTTTTTCCAAAATGATTTTGCATCGGACAATAAGAATTCGAATATTTGCATGAAACATGACGTTTGGTCAGTCAATAAATATTTATCTTTAAAAAATATGCACAGAGAAAAATACATACTGTATACAAGTAAATATTACCTGTTTCAAGTATTTCATAAGTTCATATATCCGGAAATATATAATAAATTCATCATAAGCATCAAATTTATTGAACAAACTGTGTTCTTAATGCTAATAAGTTTGATGCTTCAATGAAAAATATTAAATTAAAACAAATATTCTATTTGTTTTTTTTATCTGACTTCTTTGATCAAAGTTTATAATATTCTTGAAAAGAAAATAATTTCTTCTTTTGAATAAATATGATAATGAGTATTTCTAATATTTGTGATGAGTTTATTTTAAGTCTATTAGTAAGAAAATATTCTTTGTTAAAGCTAATTGTTACGTAAAATAAAGAAAGTAAAATGAATAATTAGCTTTCTTAGCAATAGAATGATATTTTTCTGTGTGTGATAATTAAAGATATATTTTCTTTTCTCTTTTTTATTTGTACAATAAAACAACTTTATTTATTAACAATATAATATTGAATATATAAATTATATATACTGAAAAAAATAAATTAATAAATATTTATTTCAATACTGCTTCATTAAATCATTTTTATTTAAGGCAAATAAATATCTGTTTTGAAAAAGATTTCCTTACATTAAATAAATAATTGTTCACATTAAATCAATATTATTAGTTTCAAATAAGTGATTTATAAGAGTACTGAAATAATAAATATTAATTTGAATTCAATAAATTTTTTTTCAATGTAGTATTAAATACTGCTTTATTAAATCATTTATTTGAGACAAATAAATATATCTGTTTTGTAAAGGATTTACTTACATTAAATAAATAATTTTTCACATTAAATTAATATTATTAGTTTCAAATAAATGATTTATAAAAGAGTATTGAAATAATAAATATTTATTTAAATTTAATAAATTTTTTTTCAATGCATTAATAATTGAATTGTTGAAAAGTTGAGGAATAATTTCATTATCTGATTAGTTGGTAAAATTGTTGCGATACAATGTCGCGTTAAATAACGAATAATTGATGATATTAGACAGATCATAATTTTACTTGTCAAATCCGCAATTTATCGCAACGATAATGCATCCTAGTGACAAGATCGTTATTCATAACACTTGCGAAACCTGTTGCAGAAACACAGTTTAAAGAGTAGCAATAGATCCTTGAGTGCCTTACTCGATTGTGATCGAAATGATCTACAATGGCGAGTATATTATGCCACCGGCGTGTCTGCCTGACACGTTTCCGGTTAGTATGATTGTCCATTGCACATAATGCTCCTTTCAAGAAACGACTCTATTCCCTCCTTTTTCTCGGCTCATTGATTTTGACTTAATCTTAGATATTATGCAAATTGATTTATCAGTCGCAAATTCTCGAGTGAATGATCCAAGTTTGAAAATACGCCCACGATTCGTCTCAGGAAATTATGTAATGACGAGTCCTTTCGTGCTTTTCACTCGCGATGATCCACGAGATTTAGAAAATAAAAAGAAAAAAAGAATAATGCAAATTGATTTATTAGTCGCAAGAAATGATCAAAGTTTGAAAACACATCCGCGATTTTTCTCAAGAAATTTTGCAATGACGGATCCTTCCTTGCTTTCTGATTCGCGATGATTCACGACTCTTTCTAAGAGATTTTGAAAAGAAAAAGAAAAAAAAGAATAATGCAAATAGTAAATAAAACTCTCAAAAAAAAAATGAAAAAGAACTTTGATTCGCGTCAGAGTTTCAATTTTACACATCTCTTTCTACATTCCTTCATTACATATAAAACCGGCAAGATTAAAATAATGTAAGTCTGAATATTCGTAGCGTACTTAAGAATGCAGTGCATATTTAAGAGTTTTGCTTTATTTTTACTGAAGCCTCCTCAAGAAATTGATATCAAAATATGATATTCTGCAGAAAGAGCAGATATTTACATATATTTCAAATTTGCATCGAAATAGTGTATCTCAGAAATAGTGAAATATATACTGTTTTAAATCTGATTTATTACTTATTTATTTGAGAATTTTTAAATTGTGACTTACGATAAAAAAATTATAGAATTTTCAATAATATTAGCTAATTAAGCCATTCCATAATTCTATAATTTATGGGATGGTTTAAGATTTCTTTTAGTCACATAATTTTTTTGTTCGCGCGATTTAAGCGATGATTAATTTGTAGAGAACATTTTCATATATCCTAAATAAAACAAATAATTATAACGATACAAACAGCTCTTTCTTGGTGTCTTCTATTAAAAAAAAATTGCCAAACATGTCTACTCGAAAGTCTCAAGAAAGTGATATCTTTTTTCGATTACATAAATCACGATGACATAAATCTTTCTTTAAGCTGCTTTAATATATCGTCTGTATTTAGCACCATATTTATAATTCTAAAAGCGTGATTGTTTAGTTCCTTCTTATACTCGTCTAAAATTATCGTTTAATATCAATAAGAAAGAAGAGAATTATAAAATCACATTCAGTTTACATATGTATTATATAAAAACCAAATCCGTCACTTTCATTATATTCTCCTATTATTAGTCTCTATAAATGGCACATAAAAATACTTATATATATTTAAAGATAAACGAAATTGCTCGGAATCACATTTCGTAAGACAGCTAAGAGATCTCTTTTGCGAAGGACGTGTTATTTTTACACTTATACAACGAATGCGTCATTTACCCATTATAATTATCTCGATTTTTGCGAATTATATATTTCACGTACGCGCGTATTTAAATGATTAATGTCTGCGTAATCAGCAGAAAGTATAATACGAGAAGTGTTATTTGCGATGTATTATAAACTTACAGTTAAATGAAAGAATCATAGAATCCATGCAATCTTTCTCGTTAACTAATTTTTCTAGGAGCAATATTCATTACCTGGTGAATAATCTGCGACATCTGGCAAGCACAGAATCCGGCCATAACATCGTGATGTTATCTGTATCGTATATCACTAGCAAAACGTCTCTCTGAATTACGTGGTGCACGTCTGTAAGTCGAGTAAGATCTGGAAAGAAATTTGTCTCATGTCATTATAAAATATCGTATTCCAGACATATTAATTAGCACAAGATTCTTCCTCGAAAAGTTTTCTTCGAGTCAGACTAAAATTAAGGAACACATGTTAAATATTTGAAATACATAATATATATGAATTAAATTTGAAATAATTCATTCGAAATCATTATTATCATAATTTATAATATTACATATTTCTATAGAAAAAAAAGATTACAATAAAATTTATTTAAAAAATATAACTTTATGTATCGCCTATCATCTTTTTCTCATTTAATGGAAAGCTGAAAATTAATAAAAAATCCATAGTTCTAGAAAATATAATAAAAATAAATATATCATACTCTCTCCTTAATAATAAATCTATATATTAATCTTTATATACAAATACCTGTACATTCTCCAACCTTGGAATTCGAACAGGACGCGAACGATCAACGTAGACAGAATCAATTTTCCTTGATTCCGTGACGACGTCGTATCAATTTGCTCCAAGGTTTAGGGAGAAAGCACATTTGCATATAAGGAGCCTGTGCTCGCGAATCCAGAGATAGACCGGACAATTGGATTTGGAAATCGCGCGGACACAGCACGCCTACGATTAATTAGGAGGAGGCTACCTTGAACTCGAACCACTTTATGATTAACGACGTAAAACCGCTCTAATTGGCCTTCACCGCTAGTCGGTACAAAGCGTTAATAATATCTGGAATGCGCCGACATATTCGCGGCATATGTGAATTTACAATATATGCGCCCGCAATGTACATTCCAGAACATATAAACAAATAATTTTATAGATTTTTGTTTAAGAGATGAAATTGAAATCAGCGTTTTGGAAAATAGTTTATAATTAATTAAATTAAACTGAAATTTATCTCATATCTTTTCACTTTAATGTTAACAAAATAAATATCCTAATTATTTTTTTGTAATACTTATATAACAAATGTACGTTTGCCTGAATTTATACGATATCTCCAATTATATTCACATAATAGAATTAAACAATTATAAATATTTCCAATAGGTGAGATTAAAGGAGAGTGGCCTTGATAAGTACATCAAATGAAATACAATCGGCTGTCGCATTCACATTTATAAATGCTGTGACAGATTGCGATCATGCAGTATCCTTCACATGATAGTAGAAAGTCTAGGTAACACAACATAATTATTTTGAAACACTATATATTCTACGTATCTCAGACGGATATCGGTGTCGACAACTAGTGTAGTCTCGAGTATTATTCGAGCCATATTATCGTGTTCATAAGTCATTGGTTAATCAGCACTTTTGATAATCTGCATGTTTATACCTGATGCCTAAAAGAAATATCTGCGGAGACTAACAAAAAAAAACGAGAGATAAGGATTTTCTAACCGATCCGCGCTTTTTGTTACAATTACAATTATTTTTCATATAATGTACACGCCAAAAATGCCGATTATTTTTTTTATAATAACATTAATAGACTGAAAGTGATTTTAAAACTGAAATAATTTTAAGCAGTTGAAAGATTGCGAAAAGCGAATCTTTTTTCTTATAACACATTATATGCATATTATATGCATATTAAAGGAATTGTTTTAAATATTAAAATCATTTTTAAAGAATAATAATTTGTTGTAAACTGTGTTTATTCACAAGTGGCCGTGACTCTTTCTTCAGTTAAAGTTAAAAATTTAAAAAAAAATTTATTCCTGCAAAAAAAAAAGAGTCGCAAGAAATTTTAATAATTACTGCTAATATAGAGTAGGACGAGCTGCAGAAACTAAAACTGATTTCAAGTTATATTAGAAATTATATTATAAATTAAAAAAGAATAAAGTTTTATTAATACAATCTTAATGACTATATTAACATTTTCTACTTATATAATAATATTTATCCTAAAATATATAAAATATACATCACTGTGCATATAAATTTATTTATTTCGTTACTTTTACTGCATCAGCTTCCTTATTCCTGATGTCGACTACAACCTGTGAATTTTACACATGTAACATTGTAACAGTGTTTATTAAGATATTATTACATCTACCACTTACTTTTCCTGAAGATTTACTTTCGGAAACAAATCGCAAAGCCTCATTGACTTTATGTAAACCCACAGTCAATAAGCAAGATGGTGTAATAAGCCCTTCTTCAAGGAATTGTAAAACCTCATCTCCTGCTTGGCTAATTTTAAAATGAACAAAATAATTGAATTTTTATTTAAGGAAACAGTAGAGAGAAACCATAAAAAATATAGCATACCGATATACGTCAGGTTTTCTCTTTTTGTATTCTGCGAGATTAAAACCGGTAACACTGAAGGAACCCTTTTGCACCTCCGAATGAGCATTCGTCACCGTTGTCGCTGTACCAGCTATGATTAAGCGCCCTTCATGACAGAGGCTACAAGTGAGTGAACCGTCCAATGTTGATTATAGCTATTTTGAAATAATCTTTATACCTTCGCGAGACAAATGATGCACCACCACAGCGAAATTGTCATCGCGCAGCAAGTCCTTTAGTGTTGCATCTTTGTAGACATCGGTAAAACTAAAAATATTACATGTCTCACCAGAATGTCTTACCTGATATGGAAACCCAGGCATGCAGCTTTCTCTATATCCAAAAATATATGTCTATTAATAAATCTTTTTGGAACTTACCAATCCAACTCTTTCTTTAAGTGTTCTCCATCTATATCATCAAAGATAACTTGGATGTCTCGTTCGGCTGCGATTTCCTCTATTTGCTTTAACAACTTCTTATCTTTGTACTTGAGAGATGCAAATGCTCCTTTCTTCCGAGCCAGATCTGCTCCATCTTCAGTTGCACACACCCCAATGACCTTGTAATTTAAAATATAATTAAATTACATAAAATATAATTATAAAATAAATTGTAATTATATTAAATGTTATATTATATAAATGTTATATAAAATAATGTATAAATGTTATATTATATAAATTGTAATAATCACCTTTGCTCTAAAGACATTTGTCGCAAGATCTATTGCTGCCAGACTAATGCCGCTTACACCAACATTTATTAAGATCATGTCATTCTCATCTATACTGACTTTTCTCTCTAGCGCAATCAATGCAGTAACATAGTTGTCTAAGATGCTCACAGCATCTATAGAATTGATCGCAGAGGGTACCTTCCATATATCCTAAATAAAATGTGTTGTTATTAGCAATAATTAAAAAATGCATGTTATATACCAATTAAAATATATTTTACCCCAATTTCTGCCAGGCATTTCTCAGTCAAACCTCCATATTTTTCCTTGTTAAGAGCAACGACTTTATCCCCAATTTTATAGCCATTTTTCTCTGCTTCCTCGCCAACTTCAACCAGTTTTCCAACTACTTCATAACCAAGAATCGTTGGTAATTTTGGTTCAAATGTATACAAATTTTTACTGAGCAGTGCGTCAGCAGTGTTCAAAGCACAATAATGAACATCGATAAGAACCTGAAACAGATAGCAATTATTATCAATAATATATATTCTTTGAATATAATTGTTTTTTATTTATAAATTTAAACATTTAAAATTTGAACAAAATTTAAGTTACTTTTAATTCTCCAATTTTACTTACTTCATTCGATTGTACATTCTGTGGCGGCTCCAGATTCTCTATAACGAGAGGACTAGAGAAATCCTTCAATAATGCAGCTTGAATTTTTCCCGGCTGCAAAGCCGGAATGACATTTTTCGCATCTTCCTCGACAGCTGCACTGCTGAATCTTGTGACGAAAATTCGCGGTGACAAGCGGCTTCTGCATAATTTTATGAAAATTCTGTGTCCCACCGATGATGTCATATTAAGAATATACAATTAATTCAATTATAACGTCGTAAATCATTGCAAACTTCGACACAAACTCCAAAGCACCATAGGTACGTTCGAAAATCTTAGTTATTAAAAATTTTACTTTACGGTAAGATTTTCGAACGAACCTAATCTCGTGACAGATTATAATTCGCAAGGCAGATGGCGCTAAAAATGATTCGTTCCCCCACTCTTCCTTCTGCAAGATGACAGAAAGTCATAACCTGACAGGATCCTGCGATTACAATATAAACAATTCACAGGTATTTATGTACAAAAAATAAGAGCAATATTGAAATAAGAGGAATATAAATGTAGGAATGTCAACAGAATATAGGAAATCCGGAAGAGAAAATCACTTTGATATATGCAAAATGGATTTTAAGGAATAAAATTCAAAATTTGGTATAACTTTATATCGTTAAGTTGGAAAGACATTTATTAAAAAAAATCAAAGTCCTGCAAATAAGTTCAAAATGCGGCCGCACAAATTTAAACTACCTTGTGATGTGGATAGGTAAAGAATTATTCATAAGAAACGAATGTTCAAAATTAATTAAGTTACACAATTATTATAATATGTTAATATTTTATATGTTTTCTATTTTATAATACTTCCTGTTATTTCTATTAATTTTTTCATATATAATATTGGATTTATAGTTTTATGCCAAGTGATCAAAAAGTAGTGATTGTCTCGGTATTTGGCAAGTCTGAGTATCAAGCTAAAGGATACAAGATGGAAATGTTAAGTTCTATACTTCAGTTAAGTCATCTGGATGAACTAGAGGTTAACGAAGATTCTTGGGTGAGATACCTTTTTTAAATATCCAAAACTTTCTGATATGATTAACAAGCAGTATCCTGATTTTATTGTTTTTATTTGTCAGAGTGATATTGAAGGATATTATAATCCTCGTGAGAAGACAGTTTTTTTACATTTGAGAGGATTCTTGGATACTCATACACTTATGACTCAATATGACAAATTTGTAGAGAAACAGGAACGTAAGGACTTTCTCAGTGTGTGGGCACATATGAGAGATAAATATGCGAGAGCACTCCTAGTACTATTTCATATATCTCATGTGATTATACTTACTCATCCGACACACACATTTGATTACAGTTTTATAAATCTGTTTCGTGCTATGGATGTAGTCAGGTTAAGATCAGTTTAATTTTTTTCAGGAATAGATCATATATATGATTTATATACTATTAAAAGTGTTTATATGCACACACAAATTAAATTTAGTTGATTTAAGCTTTTCTCTGGTCTAAAACAATATTGTAATACTTTTATAATAGGCAGAAGATTTCAGCACAACTTTCCGATGTGTTAAACTCTATTCCCAATCTACCCAAAGATTGGATTGCAAATGTTAGACCCTGTTCGCCACGAGTATTGTTTTACTTTGAAACCTGTCCTATAGCACTCCAAAATCCAGACAGTGATGCTAATATTAAAAAATTAGAACATTCGCTTGAAGATCAAATTTATAATATGTTGAGGAAAAGTAGAATTGTTACCAATATCAGGTATAAAATTTATCATATTAAATATCATTGAAATTTAACAAGACATTAAAATTGTTTTTCCTTGCTTTTAGTTCAAACTCCTTATTTGCAATACCAGCTAATCAGGAATTCGTGTATGTACATACCGGAAATGCAAATTCAAAGGATATGCTGGGTTTTCTGGCAAGAAAATTAATGCAAAGCTGCAAAACTAGTTCTGGCGCTTCAACATCGAGAAGTCTCATCAGTTTAGATTCAAATAGTATCATAACAGATGAGACTGGTAAGATACAAATGAATGGAGGTAAAAATTGTGCTATAATATATACAAAGATAATTTTTTTACATTTACAGAATCTCGCTCATTTAAACTATTTCTGCAACAACACATAAACTTGGCTTTTGCAAAAGGGTTTGACGACAATGTCGGTCGACACTCTATACCAGCTTATTTTGAAGTATGTTATTAAGAATTATATTATTAGTTTAATACCAAATCAATATTAATGATATAAATTTAATATAATTAATATTTATCAATATATTAAGTAATATTAGTATTAATTAAAAATTAAACTTTTATTGCATTACTTTTAAAAATAAATTTGTAAAATATTTACAGATACCTACTTTAAATATATTTGGTCAAGTAGCGAACAAGGTATTCGATTATTTTGTTTATGGAACCGACAAAGAACTGTTAACACTTCACAATTTATTAGACACTGATGTGAAATTCAGTAAAAGCCGATGCAGCAAAGTGCTTCCAAGAGCTTTACAAGCATATCAAGAGAATTTACCACAACATTACACGAGGTTGAAAATTATTTGAGGGATAATCACGATTAAAAAAGAGATTATATTCTAATTAAAAAATGTTTTTTAGAGCATATCACGAATCAAAACTGGCGCATGCGATGGGAGTTTTCGAGATGCACGCTTGCGGTCCGTTGTTTGAGGAATTCAGTGAAAAATTACAGGCCGAGTGCGACAAACATTGGCGTGCTGGCAGACAAATGTGCGAAGTATTGTCACTTACCGGTCATCCTTGTACAAATCCCATTCACAGGGGAGGTAGCGAAGGTGCTGGAGGTGGAGAGCAAACTGAACCTAGGGAGGATGATGAGTATGTATCCCTATAAGAAAGAAAGATCATATATTATATATATATTTTTTTTATTACATAAATTTATTATATTTATTAAATTTATTATTATATTTATATTTGCAATCAATTGCCAAGTTTTCCTTTCAATTGCTTTCAGGGAACTACCTACCAGAGAACATTGCAGCGGAGTTAGGTACGTGTGTGCTTGCAATTGTGGTAGAATTCAAGGCCCAAGAGAAGATCCTTTCAGTCTACGACAGGCCAACTATGACTACTTCCAAATGCTAGCAAAACAATGCGGTTGCGCGCAGTTGGAGAATATACAGTTCCCTGTGTTTCAACCTAGTACACACAACTACAGGTAGAACTATGTTCTAAAAGTTTTTTTTTTAAAGAAAGATAAGATAGACATGTATACATTTTTTTATTTTATTGTGTGCAGAGCAGCACAATTATTTTCAGCGACGAAACGCCACGATTCCTTCAGTCGCAATGGATCTTCTACACCCCAAGAAGACATGCAAGCCTGTAGTTTAGGAGCTGACAGTTTAAATGGCAAGTAACATTGAATGGAATATAGCATCTTCTTTTAGCAACCTTTTATATAATTTAAAACATTTTTAAATATAACAAAAAGAATTATAAGTTATTATTAAAAAATTATAAATTGAAATTATAAAAATAATTATACAAAATAAATTATAAAATTATATATAAATAACAAAAATATTATAGATTATGGCAGTGGAGGTCAATCGTCGATGGCGAGCGATCCGATTGGAGAGGATATTCCCAGATTGAGTGCCAAAACAAGTCTCACCCCGAGCGATTCACACAAAGTTGTCATAGAAGTCACTGAGAGCGACGCGGAAAACTCTAAAGGTATTCTATCACATTTTTTACGACATTAATACCTGTGACTAAATTCAAAAATATGTACAATGTTCCCATGTTTACAGACAAGTCTTTAGTTAGGCAACCATCGACAACAGAATATTTGCCTGGAATGTTACACACTGAATCACCACCTGGATTGTTACCACAATTTTCTAGCTGGTCTTTGATATGTCTCGGACCAAGTAGCCTTTATTCTCACAATTTAGGATTGCAGCATCAAACTGGAATATTTCCTACCTCCGCGTTTCTACTACCATGGGATGTAACTGTCAGGTGAGGAAAAGATGAATATCTTTTATATTTTTCTCTTTATAAATTTTTTTAAAATTTATAAAGAGTGATATTCATCACATTAGTTGTTTTCAATTTTGAAAAATTTATAAAGAGAAATATATTAAAGACATTTATCTTTTATAATAATTTTTCTTTAATTGAAAACAAGTAATGTGATATTCATCGCATTAGTTGTTTTGAATTTTAAAAAAAATTTATAAAGAGAAAAATATATCATATCACAGATTGGAACATCAGAAGGAACGTAGTAGTTCTTTGTGGCCTACAGTGGGCTTTACAGGATCTGACCACGGGTCTCACGGAAATTATAATTATCTGCGAGGGAGCAAGAATTATCATCAAAACATTAATACGGTTCGTGGTCGTAAATCCAAGGGCGGCAAAGAATTTGTGGTGAAAATATTTATCGGCGTGGAATATGAGTGTCCACGCGGCCACAGATTCATGGCGTCAGCGCCCGATAAGGTTCTTAAAACCACTGGAAACGGAATAGTGAAAGATAGTGGAAATAAAGTGACATCTAGCACAGTCGACATGCCACTTTACTTTGCATGTCCTTGCAGGTTTGTAGAATTTTCACACCGATACCAACTTTTAATACAAAGTTTGTGGATAAATATTCATCAGATAAATATGTTTTTCTATTTTTTAGACAAACGAAACCATTGGTCGCTCAATTAATGAGAATCCACGTGGTCACGCCGAAGGCACCAGTACATGTTACATTAAACCCTCGTGTTCAACCTGGTCCTGCACCATGTCCGATATTTGTCACAGGATGTGAAGAGCTTATCAAACTTTCACAAAGTGCATATTGGATATTAAGATTGCCGTATCCTTTTCTTTAAAGCCTTTAGCATGCATATGCTGTTTATATTCTTCAAATTAATCTAATTATCTTTTAATTTTATATAAACAATCTATTCTCTTACCTTTCTTTTTCCATTCAAATATATATATATATATATATATGTATATTTTTTTTATATAAATATATAAAAATATATTTTTTATAAATATATATATATATATATTTGAATAGAAAAAAAAAAATATATATATATATATATATTGAATGGAAAAAGAAAAGTATGAGAATATATTTCTTATATGTAATCAAAAGATTAGATTTATATATATATATATATATATATATATACATATATATATTTACCTCATGTTTTTCTTAATAAATCTCAAAGTTATGTATATATGGGTGAAAAAGGACCATATTTACCTCCTAAGGAACCAGTATCTATATCTCATGGACGATTGTTAGCCGGGATGTACGGTATAAGTGAGGTTTTGCCTGAAAAGAAATGAAGAGTGCGAAGACTGTGATATGAAAATTTTACTATAAATATGTTTGCGCATAATTTTTTTTTTAATATGACGAATAATCAATTACCTTTTAATTTATGTACATTCAAAATTATATTCCCATAAATTTGTATTTATGAAAGAACAAAACATCACATCTTACCATTTTCCCATCACATCTTACTATTTGAACTTAGCCGAATCTTGATACGACGCTGCGCGGTGATTCGTCGATTTTAAAATTCCAGATGATCACGTGTCAACATTCGTATTCGTAATTGGATGACGTATTATTATAACCTAGACGCTCAATTAAATTCACAAAAACAATTTTCCTTCTCCCCACCGTTTACGTCAAAACAATTTTAATTCGTTATTACTTCTAATTAAATAAAGTGTAATTTTTTTTTTTTTTTAATAGACGACTAAAAATTGATAAAAATAATGATTTCGACGCGCGAGGGGCGGAAGTTCGTTGACGAGCCGCCATGCATTCAAACGTCACTGCCGTTGGAGCGAAAACAGGTGGAAACTCATCGTGGCATTTAAATTTGTTGAAATCGTTAAAATCATCGTGTCTGATGAAAAGGTTATTTTTTGCGGCTCTGCGATTCGTCGACGTGATGTGAAACGATTGAGAAGTTGCGGGGAAGTGTGTGAAAAACTTCTCGAATATCCGTTTACGTTGGCATTCTTTTACAGGCTTCGAAAATTGTTATACAGTCTCGAACGAATGCTCCAATTCACGACGTATTATCTATTTTTAGTTGTGGTTTGCGTAATTTGCACCTCTTCTTCTTTTTAGCGGACTTTGTATTACAAGTCAAAAGAGAGAAAATAATCTGTGTTCTGGATTCGTTTGAATTATTTCTGAACAAATCATTGACAATTTTAGGTAATTGTATGCACATCTCATAAATTGATTAAATTTATAATGCCAAGTTATATTTAAACATTATTATAATTTTCTTTCTCTTTTTCAGACAACAGATTTAATTACATGCAATGCTATTCAAGATGAATTGCAAGTTGTTACTGATATTTATTGTATTGTGTAATTGTAAACTTGGGAGCGCATCTATACTAGATTGGGTATGGCAATCAAAAACAAATGACAAAACTGCTTCAATCGATGATGGCGTACCTTTGATCTCGATTCCTTATGAGATGATGACAGAGGATGAAAAGTTCCTCCAACAGGCTGCCAAGTTTACGAACATCCAAGTGTCTTCTCCATTGGAGACCTGTCAACATAAAGTTATTATGAAAATTAGAACTTCGTGTTCCGATATGACTGAAGAGGAGCTCGCAAAACTGAGTGTAAATCTCCTCAATTGCCAATCAGCAGTTGAAGGAAGGAAAATGTTTCCTTGCACCGAAGAAATGGTATGTATTTGATAAAATATAATCTCTTCGCACATAATCTGTAAATGAAACATTTTTTCTTTCCATTTTGTTCTGCGAGTCTTATTAATCAAAATTATATACATTCCATTCAAGATTTAAAATATATTTAGATTCTATTTAAAATCTATCTTTAAGTAATAATAATTAATAAATGCACTTCATTATATTCTGCATTTTTCAATGTATATATATATATATATATATATATATATATATATATATATATATATATATATATCCCAGCAAACACCGATATATAATTGTAACAGGTAATATAACGTGCACGTTACATGTAACATCCATATTAGTTGTAATTTTCCACTCATAGATGTAACATTTTAATATAACATATTACATTGTAGTTATATTGTAATTATATACCAAATAGCACATTGATGTATTGATAAGTCAGTGCTATCTTGGGATATAATGACAATATAACTACAATGTAATATATGTAATATTAAAAATGTTACATCTATGAGTGGAAAATTACAACTAACATATACGTTACATGTAACATGCTTAAATATATAACATTTATATACTGTGTTTGCTGGGTATATATATATATATATATATAATTTAATATTTTACATATGAAACATTAACAATAACACAAATACAATTTGAAAGACCATATTCATGTAAGAATTATTTTAGTGACTAGTTTTATTTATTAAAATTTGTTGATTTATGTTATTTATTAATAATATATAAAAATAATTTACATTGCTCTAAAACATAATACAACATAACTAGCTGCAGAGTGTCTACCCTCCATAAAATGAGAGGGTAAATTCCATGCCTGTTCAAACCTGCACATTTCCCCCTCCTTTGCTTTTGAAGACCTCCCCAAAGTTTTCAGTTGTCCAGTACATTATAGTAGCTGACATTGCTCTATTCGTAGATGGTTTAATGTAATACTAAAAAAGAATATTATACAAATTAATTAAAAAGAATTATAAAAAGAAGTAATTGCTAAAACAATGTTATAAAAAACAGTGCACTATTAACAGAAAAAGTGTAAAAGAAAATTAGAATATAATTTATATAGTAAGTATGAAAATATATTTTTACTTTTTAGTCCCTTCAACAATGTACAACACATATGGATGCTGATATGTGGAATGCATATCATTTAATGAGTAATAGAGCAAGAGCAGTTTGTTATGCAGCTCGGAATACACAATTTCGTGCTCTTACAGAATTAACTGTCAACAAGCTGATGCATTCTGCGCATTCTCAAATTGAGGCATTGAAGTCTTTGAAGGTGAATATTCAACGTACAGTATGATAAATATTTTAGTAATTTTTTTAGTGTTTTGTTTCTTTTTGATGGTATATATTTATGACTCATACAGGAAAGTCAAGATCATTTGCAAGACCAGACAACAGAAGCTCTAGTGTCATTATCCAAGGGAAACAAAGCACTCTTGGAACAACAAGAATACTTGAAAGATGCTCAAGTAACAGCTCATAATCTTGTAACATCGAATCTGAGGGAATTGAATAACGAAAAGGCATTAATACGATCTGGACATACTCAGCTCGCAGCTATGGCAGAAGATATAAAAAATAAATTGGGTACTAAACATTTTATATATGTTTTTCTCTTTTTTTTATACTATTGTATAGATTTTCTAAGTTTATTTTATATCCTTCGATAGAAAAGGCGCATAAAGAGATCGAGCAACAGGTCATTGAGCATGGTAAAAATCATGAGGAAGTGTTGGAAGACTTGATCAGTATAAAAGAACAAATGCAATCAATTTGGGATAAAATCGAAAGTAGCACTAATCATATATTGGACCAACATGAGAAAACCATCGAGCATTACGAGCAGACAATGCAGAAACTCGCACAAATTAATAATACTATTCAATATATTTGGAATCTGACTAATATTATGCGCACAGAAGTAGATAAAAAGTTGGGATGGATTACAGACTATATCGGCGATACTGGTACATAACAATATAAAATATATTTATTATGAGAGCATAGTCTGATTTAATCGCATAAAAAAATTTTGTTAAATTAATTACATTAAATTTTTGCATTAAATATTTAAAATAAACTCTAATACAAATAGAATTAAAATAGAAATATATGTCGATATTTCATATTTTTAGGTGAACAACTGCAAAGAATGTATCGCATAGTTTCACATGTTGTGTATATATTGGTGGCGATGATAATTGCTGCGTTTTTACAAGCACCATTTTTAACTAGAGCCAGCATCTTGGCCGTGGTGCCAGTAAATCTTGTAACTTACTTGAAACATGGCATGGAAGCTTCTCTAGATTTTACATCTATGACAGTACTAATATTCTTAATTAGTGCAAGTAAGTATTGTACAAATTAATTATGCATATTTATGTATATATTAATACTGATTTGTATTTGATGCATTTATTTCCTAATGCAGTGTATTTCGTAATGTCGGGAATACAACAAATGTTTGGACCAAGCAATTCAGAAGCAAAGACACAACCAGCTAAGTTGACTTCTCAAAATGGACATTTGAACGGAAAAACATATAAATATACAACATATTTCAGTTCTATGCCAAAAATACAATTGCACAAAAAAGTAATAAAAAAAATACAAGACTTTTATAATTTCATCGTTTTGCAAATAAACTACTATAAAGGTACTTTTCTAATTTGAAAAACTGCGAGAAAAATCATTTTTGATATAACAATAATTTCTATCAATTTTTAGAGAAAATTAATGATTTAATACATTTGATCATTCCAAACAATCAACGCAATTTAAGTACGCACGAGGAACTCTCCTGTTCATATCAACCATTAAAGAAGAATCGTGAAGGTGTGTATAACAAACAGAATTTTTCGAATATGTGGGACGATCAGATGGACTGCGATTCTTCAAACACGATAAATTCGTTGCAAGAGGATTACAATGATAAACATTTTAAAGATATAGCAGAAACGTTGAAATTGAAATATTCTATGTACAATACGATGGCGCGATCTAGAAGGTATGTAAAACATTATTAAAATGATTGGGAATCATAAAATAACTGAAAAATATGATTCTAGTTGTACTCCGTCAGATACAAGAATGCTTTGTCTGGCAAATACAAAAAATGGCAGAAGATGTCGAGTGTTTGCTTCACCCGGGCAACCTTACTGCTATCATCATTCTAGTAGTTCATCTATCGTAGATGGTCATCTCAATTAAATCTTTGATTATCAATTATATGAATTGTTATTGAATAGAGATTGTCACACACATTATACCTAAAATAAACTTATAATTGATAATTAGATTTAATAATTGCGATAATTGGTAAGTTTTAATTGTAAAATTTTTGAATACTTATTTATAATGTATATTAATTTTAATAAGAACTTGATTATTGATATTGAATATTTAATAATCTAATAATTTCATATAGAAAAATATTTAATTATCAGAGAAATGATAGATTCAGAAAAGAAAAATGTAAAAAATCAGATTAAAAATATTTTACATATACGTAATTTATTTTAAAAAAAGAACTTTATTTAAATGATCATTTATTTAAATTAAATTCTTTTCTCGATATATTATTTCTTTTATGAATAGATTAACGATTCGTCCCTCATTAAAACATGTATTGTACGCTACAAATAAAGATTTATCAGAAATTTTACAATAATTTATAATTTATAAATATTGCTAATTATCACAATTTTTCGATCATCAGTTATATTGTCTATCGATAGATTGAATAATTTACATCTTGTGATTTTGTAAAATCAAGTTTCTTTTTAAATAATAATACAACAACGCCTCAATAGTATTAATAATTGATTTTGATACTATGATATCAGATGTATATATCTAGATGTAATTAGCATTTTATATATAAAGTTAGTACTTTATATATAGACTTATAATTTACATAATTTTTATTAATTTAATCATGTAATTTTAATGTTTTGTGCTGAAACATACTTATACCACCAAGTATCAAGAAATTTTTAATTACACTTGTCACATATAGCAGTGTTTCTCAATGAATATTGTAAAATATATATTTAAAAATACATTATTCTCCTGCTTTTATATAATAGCAGATGATTAATTATAACTTCTGTGTGTGTGTATTTTTAAATATTATAAATGATAAAATACTTTATAAATAGATTAGTTAATAGTTGATAATTATATAAATTAGATAAGTGAAATGTTTAATTTATTATTTCGTAAAGATATATAAAGTACAAATTTATGATTCAAATAATCTTGTAACTTTGTACAAAACTCTGTATATAAATTAAAAATATAAACTTCTTAGCAACTGTAACATTTCAGTGAAATTACAAATATATTTTTTCATCCACAAACTGCCATATTAAATTGCGTGCACGTAGCATCGCTCGTCAGTTCCAAAAAGTTTGCATGTCTATCAAGACCAGCTCCCACCACCAAATTATGGAGATTGCAATAGTTGGCGCCGTAATCAAATATCACAAACCATTCGTTTGATACGGAATCTGCCTATATTCAATCATATTTTTGTTGCTTTGAAAGTTATACTTTTTATACGCTTGTATACACTTTGTACCTTTTTAATTTTATCATTATATAAAATAATTTTGCTAGTTCAATTAAAAGCTTACTGTAATGAGGCACGTGTTGTTTGTCTCTTCGAAAATAAGATTGATTTTCTCGAGCGATTTGGAATTCGACGTCCTGTGTGTCGCCCTAATGACATTTTCTTCCGCTGGTACGTTGAGCTATTGGGATGTAAGTTTGAATTAATCGCATTTGATAATGTAAAATTAGATTCTTACCGTATACAGACAACTGTCACCACGTGGTCGACAAACGTTCCAAGAAGACCAATTCATTATTTGACATCGAAATTTCTGCATTACGTATGTGCATGGATCGTCAAACTTCCTGAAATTAATATAATTGCTCGTAAAAACTAATACTATTACACACAGAATAAAAAAATTTTAGATATTTATTCTGCATTTTATTATATTTATTTTATTTTAATTAGAATTAGAAAGAAATATACGTTAGTATTATTTAATTTTAAAACTTTAGAAAGCTTTGCAAGAGAGAAAATAAAAAAAAATTTTCCTCAAAATTTTAACAGCTTAATCTTTCAAATTAGAAATTGATTTAAAAAATTAGATTAATTTTCTTTTTATTACTATATATTTTCTATTTATTAACAATTATTCTCATTAAATTTATGTAACTTCTTACAAGTTCTTCTGTTTTATTACGACTTAAAATTCACTCTTCTGCTGTTAGAATATAAATTCTGACACTTTTACGATTTTTCAAAATCTAAATAACGAAGCTACCGAAAGTAATGTTTCGTCAGCCCAGCAAAGTCGTTCTCATGAAATTAAAAGCGCGGCTCGTATATTTTTTCGGGCGGTGTCATCCCGGCCAAAGTAAAATATACGAGTCCCACACCGCGGGCAATATTGAGTTTCTCTATGTACATAAGGGAGAATGGTGGAGACAACACTTCAAAAGAAACTTCTCGAAAGCTACAATTCTCGTAAAACGTGGTGATCTCGTGTTAGTTATTATCGAAGAATATATAAGAACTCCGGCGGTGTTTTGGAAATTTTGTAATCATGATAACGACTGCTGGCGAAACGTAAATCTGCTGCAAAGCTTTGTAATTTGTTGGTGAATGCTAAAAATGCTTCACAATTATCTTAATTTAGTAGAGTGACGTCCATCGGTTTTTAAAACCATAAAATACATCTCTTTCCAGAACAATATTTAATTACGCAACTTTTTCTTTTGCAATTTTTTTAATGTTATTGCGATAATTGTTTCTCAACATTCTATCAAATTAAGTAAAGAGAATAGGAATTTATCTGTTCGCATATTTTTTTAAAGCAGTTCAAATCTTCCTTTAATTATAATTTTTCTATGTGACTATCATTGAGATGTAATTACCATTTTATAATGCACGAAGCATGCAGAGGATACGGGAACAATAATTTGCTGATTATAATGCACAATAAGATGATCAGCATTCCAGTGAGCCAATAAGTGCAATATTTGCATCTTCCCTTGGAACTGCTCGCTATAATTATCGAAGGTTCACCATCTGCTGTGTTATTAATAAATAAATTTCATTAGATATACTATTTTTCAAAGAAGCTATGTCGTGTTAAAAGTTAAAGTTTCGAAGAATAAATAATCTTTCGCAAAAGGTATTGAAATATTTCAGAAAGCTATAGATAAGTTAGAAAAAAAATAATTTGTTCACAAACTTGAACTTTCTCAAAAAAATGGTTGAGATATTTAGTTAAAAGTGTATTTAAAAAATTAACCTTTTTGTTTCGACGTAACAGAATCGTCTCGCGACTTTTTTGATAATTCTATGGTACTGTGACGAAAATAATACGGTGGCTGGCTGACTGTCGCGTTATCTCCCTGTGCCGACATCTCGGTCCTTTTGATAGCATTCTTCGACAATCGACCCATTACTAATTGATTAGCTTTCATGTAACAGAAAAAAAGAATTAACGCTCCTTTTCCAAAATCTCTTCGCTGAAGGTCGTCTCCGAATGTTAATTATATATATTCACGCCGTTGTTTTTATAACATCTATAAATTGTGTAAAATTAATTGTTTTGAATTTCTGAAACTCACACAAGGTCTGAGAAAGAGCTTTTCAATATGTAAAAAATTGTAAATATAAATTAAAGATAAAGAAAAAAATCTTTTATTTGACTGATGTAAAATTTTGATTAAATTATATAAGTTGCAAAATATTATTTAACATGATAAAAGTATGAACGATCTTGAATGTGCGTTGTTGAAAAAATATCACTTGGAAGTAATAGTTTAATTAAAATAAACGGGAAAATATATTCAGTTAAAAAAGAAAATTCAATGTAAAATAAATATAAATTTTCGCAATCTAGTTTTCTCTAAAAGAATATATATATAATACATAACATACTTAATACAGTAGCTTCCCACGCGCGTAGATTGAACAGTTTTCTTATAATCATTTTTTATGATGAATCTCGATGACGCGCGACGGACTTCCTTGATGAATATTATCTTCAAAGATCCCATACATGATGCGGCTACTATGTTTTTTTTTTCGACTTAATCTCTTTCCTTTTCCACTTGTAGCAACCCACTTTTTCATTTCTGCAAAGATTGTGACACATTAAATTGTAAGAAACATATTCAATCTGAACTGCACATAAGAATATTATTAATTAATTTATTTAATAGATAACATATGTTACAAACTTAAAAATATGAATACATTTGAAGGAAAATCCAATTTTAAAGATTTGTAACTTGAATTTCCACATTCATTCATTCGTTTTCTGCATAATTAATGCTCAAGTTTTTTCTCAATTATGATAAATTGTATCAAAGCTAATGTTGTAGTTTAAAAATACTGCCTTTGCCATTCTCTCGTATACCAAGGAAAGGCATTAGGGTTGTATACAAGATGAGAGAAGATGACATGTCGGCTTGACAGCTGGCGGCGACATAGGATCCGGTTCACACGACGTTTTGCTCTCCCCTTCTTTGCGATGAAATTTCGTAAACTAACGCGAAGAAATGTACTCTTTTATGTATTTTTTATTTTTTTCGCGCTTTTGTAATATCATGTATAAGCATGCATATACAAACAAATTTCTGACTGCAGCTCTTATCAAAATATTTTATTATTTGTTTGTAGCATATTATATATGCGTATATTGTATTTCAAAATGAGAAAAAATTTTAATTTCCGATTCTATTTCTCTGAAACTAATCGTTTTTAATAATCTATTCAATGTAACTCATTTAATACCTGCAGATTCATCTTTAAAATGTCGGATGTGCATTCTTTTATTATCAAAAATATTTTACTTATTATTGAAATAAACAATTTGTTAGAGATCTACTATTTTAAAGAAATGTCACTTTTTTAAACATTTTATTCTATATAATCGAATTACATCTTGCATGTATCAAAGACACTTACATATTTCAATAGTTGAGATATAAATATATCGCATCAATATTACTACTAATAGTGGCAGTAGAGTAATAAATAGAAAGACACTATCTTCATTCATTCTCCTTTTTTCTTCTAGATCCACATTCGCGAAATATATTCTACCTTCTGCGAATTTTTTTTCTTTTTTTATCTCAATCAGTTTGGCACATTAATTGTCATCAACTTGTCATTGTAAACAAATTGCTACATATAAAAAATGAACAAGTTATTACGTTATCGATATTAAAAAAATCTGTTAACAGTCGAAGGAGAAATGTAAAACCTTACTACTTTGGAAAGTGATTTTACATAATTTTGTAAATACTTACGTAGCTTCTCAAGTTGCCGTTCTTTTTTCCTTCAACTCATATACCTTGCAAATCATCGATTGGCGTGCAAGTCGAGGAAACAGACGAGACGGTAGTGACGACGCGACGACACGAGACGGATCGCGACGTTTTGCGTCACCGTAGATTCCATTTATCCTTTCGTTTGCGTTTGTCGTGATGCTCCTTTTCGCCATCCGTTCGTCGTTCTCGTCGTCGTCCACGTATGACTTGACAGCCATAAAGACGACCGCTCGACCGACATCTGGCCTGACTTTGTAGTCTCCTACCTATGCGTAAAAAGAGTCCCGCGCATCGTCTTCAGGCTTTGCTGATGTACAAGGATTGACAGAGCGAATCGTCGTCGGCGCTCTTCCCGCACAGAAGATACACAATGTATATTCCGGACCTTTACAAGCAACCCTTTGACCTTTATCCGTTCGGATCCTTTGATCACTTCAAATTCGATAGTCTTTTACAATGTAGATTTGACCCTGTAAAAAATATAAATAAATTAGAAAAATAATTTCAAGAAAATAAAAACGTCAGATATTTTATTTTTATCAGGGTTGGAAAGTAACGAGTTACTTGTAACGAAGTTACAGTTACTTTTTTTCCGTAACTATAACTTAAATTCGTTACTTTTCTCCATCTGTAACTGTAACTGTAACTTAATTTTTTTTTTTAGTAACTAGTAACTATTTTAACAGTTACTTTATTAGTTACTTTTTTGGAAACATGCGCTAAAAGTATCGTTCAAGTATGGTAGCCGTTATATTGTTATTAAATTCTGATAACAGTAGCATATGGATCTCCATATGATTTAATCTTTTACCTAAAATTCTCATATATATTTAGTGTACATAAAATAATATAACACATAATTAAGATCGATCAATCACAGTCAAGTATTTAAAAAAATTCTTAATGTAATAATTAGTCGATTTGCTTGCGACTTTGCGATTACCATTTATTAACTATAAAGTTATTAACTATAAAGGTCATTCCCCAAGGAGAACAAAAGGTCAAGATGATGTCAATTTGACGTCAAATTGACTAAATATTGACCAAAAAAATGATATAAATTTAGTCAATATGACGTCAAATTGATATCATTTTGACTTTTCTATTCTCCTTAGATTCATATATTGATAGTAATCGCAAAGTCGCAAGCACAAATCGATCAATTATACATTCAAGAATTTTTTTAAATACTTGACTGTGATTGTGCATAAAATGTAAGCCTCTTATATTTAAAATAATATATAATTATTTTGAAAAAGTAACTGAAAAATAACGATTCGTTACTTTTTGAGTAACTGTAACGAGTTATTTTTAAAAATCGGTAACTTGTAACTGTAACTAGTTACTTTTTCAATAAAATAACTGTAACTGTAACTAATTACTTTTACAAAGTAACTTTCCCAATCCTGATTTTTATACATCTCTACTTTTTAATTATCTCTTATACAAGATTAAATAAATACAAAACGTGAAGAAAATCAAGAAGGAACCGCAAAGAAAACGACCGGCTCGTTTGAAGTTTCCGATAAAACGGAATCAGACGTAGCGGAAGAGAAACGAAGAAAAGTATATTCTCTATAGGCTCTCCCTAGAAATTTATAATTCGAACCGCCTGTCGGCAGCTAATTTCCTGTTCGGCGAGGGCGTGTCTATGGCCCTAAGCGTTTTCTCGCGGTGTTAACCTGGGCGGTTAAGAGACTTTCCGATGAGATTCGAGGGAGGAAGACGAAGAGAGCCCGAAATCTTTCCTCTTCGCTTCTCTTCGCACTTTTTTCGAAAATGGTGGTCGTAGCACTTCATCGGTCGCGAAGCAGCTGCCGGCTATGGTAAGCCAAACAACTATGAAAAGAAATGATAATAAAATGATGTATGTCGCAGCTGTCGAAAGGAACGATACTTGGCGGTACTTTTAGTTTTATTATTTTTCAAGCTTCTGCTGATTATGATACTCATTTATATAAATATATGTTTTTCTTTATGCAAAAGTTTTAATTATTAAAATAATTTTTAAGGAACTTAAATTAAATAAATGACGACTGAGACAAGCAGATATGCAGCAAAAATCTCAATAAGAGCTAATATTTTAACAATATAATAAAATAAAATATTTTATTAAATTAATCAATTTAAGTATCTATATTTCAGGTTTACGTACCGCGGAAATAAATATTCTCCACGTGAAGGGAAAGAGGTCGCCCTCTCTTCATTAACACATACTTCATCGGCGACGCATAATGAATCAGACGTTCATATATCAGCTCGCAACAAACTCCTACGGTGTTTTTTCAAGAGGCTTGATTTATTTGCGTCGAAAAGCACACGGGAAAGAAAACCATTCCAAAACGGTCGATGGGGAAGCATTTTCGGTATCCGAATAAGAGAAGGGACTCTGGTCGACTCTCTCAATCTCTTCCGTGGACCAATCGCGCGAATCGACACGCAGGATTCTTTTTATTCCCGAAAGGGGGTGCTGCATCCCTTAGAAAAGCGAGGTGAGTCTTTTTCTTTTCAAGCTCCGAACACGCAACGATCTTCTCCGTTGGAGAAATCACAAAGGTCGTGCGTGATCCTTTTTTCGCGCACGGCCAACAGAGCGCATCCCTCTCGAGAGAGTAAGGCTGGCCCTTTTTTCCTTTCTCTCCTCGTCTCATCTCCCTGTCGTCTCTGGAGAACGACGATACACAGTCGCACGGGGGCGGCGCTTTGCTTGTCCAAACGAGCCGCCGCCGACGCTGTCATATAATCTTCGTGTACCGTACTTCCGGTAAGAGAAATCGTGATGTATTTTTCAGAATCTCCGATGCGTCGTAAATTATACATATATCCGGCGCTGAAACACAAAAAAATGTCAATTACAAAAGATCTTTCGACGTAACAAAAATGCAACTTATTTTAATCTAATTATCCATATTTCCCAAAAATCGCCTGAATGTGTCCAGAATTTTATCTAAGAAAAAATTAATAAAATTATTCTTCTCTTTTATATATTAATTATGTATTTATTACTAATTCTTATAATACTATGCTTTAGAGAGAAAAAAATAATTTTTTAAGTATAAATTATATAATTTCTTACCCGAGAGGAAACGTGTATATATTTGAACAATCGCGCAGATCCGAACGAGGCTTATATATTCGGCGAAGAGTTCCGGTCCGTGACTGCGCGTCGATTTCTTGAGAGGGTCTTCCTCGCGTGTCCTTTTTGTTCCTCGTAACGTAAACGTATGAGCTTTCCTTGGCTCCGTCGAGCGCATCGACGCTGTCAACGAGAAGCGTCGAGCGCGCCTATTAGTGGCCTTCGCGGTATCATAAAGTAAATCCCACAAAAAGTCGCGGATGCTCTTTACGATCCCATCGTTTTCATTGGGAGGCGTCGATGAAAGAGAGAGAGAAAGCCAAATTTACTATGTACTTCCACGTTCCGATCTATTTTTATGATAGCGACGGCTTTATCGCTTTGTCACTTTTAGCTTTTAGATATTAAAATTTGTTCAACAATTTAAAAGGTTTTGTAGAAAAAGAAAAAACAATTAATACTATAGTATTAATCATTTTTTTTTACAAAACCTTTTAAATTGTTGAACAAATTTTAATATCCCTAGAGAATTGCGTTCGAGAAAAAATTAATTTCGGTGGCCGGCAATCGCGACAGGGGTTGCTCGGCATTTTTTTGACAGGAAACATTATATTTCGGGGGAGATACGCTCGATTATGGACGCGAGCTTTCCGTCATCCTGGCGCCAGTGGGGCGAGGTGATTTCTCTCCGTTCCCAAATATGACTAAAATCAGCCGCCGTGTGCCAATTTCGAAACTCGGGCTGGGTTGACTCTTGAGAGGTGCCGAAAAGAGTAGGCGGAGATGCTGCAGTCTCTCGTTACACATTTCCCTGGTCACAAATGCACTTAGCGCGGCTGCAATAAAGGCACAAGAGTGAGAGAAAATTTCTTCAAAATTTCACTAAGATTATATGTTCAGTGTGTACAGTAAAATTAATTGCAATTCATAATTTTTAGTAGAACAGCAGATTTAAAAAATACTCTTTGTATGCTTAGACTCATAATGCGTAAATATTACCTACTATAATACAATATTCCTCTGATTTGAATAATTTAAAAAAGAATTATTAAACAATCTATTACACAACAATCTATATCACAGCGTTGCATTGTTTGAATAACTATGACTTGTTTTTGAGAGACATTTGAATTGAAGCGCAGGCCAATAGACGTCAATAATGAAATTTGCATAACTCTACGCGCAAAATGTAGCTCTCGCAAAGTGAGAGGAAGAGAGTTTCGTGTTCCTATAAATTCTCGCAAATTATAATGGGCATGAGGCCACTTAAGCCAACGCGCACGACAGAGGCGAACAGCTGTTTCGTCGCAGCGACGAAACACGGGGCAGCCGGTCGCGCCTGTCTTCTCGTGAGCCTCATCCGCGCAGCCAAGTCAGCGTCATGCACCAAATGTGCAAGTGTGGTCTCCTCGATGACACCTGCTTACAGATGTTCCAGATACCGTAAAACGACACCGCCGAGTGGTCCGAGCAATCGGTCCCGCGCGATTCACAATTGTCCAATTCCTCTTCTGTCTATAAATCTATAGTAACACATTAACAAAGAATGTATTCGCAAATTTTGTTGTTTTTCGTTAAATTTCCGTTATATGAGATACATTTACAGAGTTTCTTATTTTCTTCTTTTTCTGATAGATAGTGTATGTATTGTTTTCTCAATTAGCATGCAATGTAATTATAAATTATTTAGATGATGTAAAATCCGATAAAAGTTTCATTACGTTTTATATTTTTAGATAAATGATTCATGAAAGAAATGCGAGTCTCTCCATTACAAATTCAAATAGGTGGAGTTATCCGATATTGGATAACAATGGAACAGGTGGATACTGATCAGCACTGGGTCCAATCGCTGGTCGGAACACCAGTGATCAATAGGAATATTTGTACATCTTAAAAATAAAGTGTCTTTTAAGTCTCATTTTTAGCCATGCTCGGAGAGTCGCTGCATTTTTAATTTTTTACATCTTATAATACAGTTCAAGCACTTTTTTTCAAGTATTCAATTTTTTTGTTCAATTAATTTCTCATTTTCCTTTTTCAGTCTAGTTTCTGTTAAACAAAATTATTTTTCGCGCTTATATTCCTCGTACACGAGAGGATACGATTATCGTTCTGTTTGTCGTTGACTTGAGGGATTTTCTTGAAAAAGCAGCGATTAATCTTTCGTCGAGGATTTCTCGAGTAAGGGAGTTCTAGTAGCGGAAAGGACGTGGAAAAAAAAACATTTCATTATGTGCAGAAAAGTGTCGCGTGTCCGAGATTCAGAAATCAATTTTCTTCATTGCTTCCTGTACCCTAAGGGTCGGAAGTGGCAGATTAGTTTACCGGATTAATAACCTGGTCAACGAATTTGCATGCATGCCGCCACTTGTTCAAAGCTTATTCTAAATCTCGCCTAAAACAATAGATAGTTTCGTGCGCACCGCTATGATTTGTGGCTTAAGAATTCTAAAAAAGGACATTCTAAAAAAAGGACATCTGCGAACTTGAGACGTTGTGGTGAAAACTGAGATGCACGAGTTGCCTTTTACCTGATTTCATTTTTTGAAAATTCTTCAGTTCTCTTGTCAGATTTAACAGAATGTAGATATTTCTAAGTACTATCAAAAACAAATGTAAAATTCTTTTAGCTGATTTCCCAGATGTCTGCGAAAAATAAATTGTATATTAATAAATAATTAACTATTTTTTTCATTCTTATAATTCGTCTATCCTAATTTTGACAACCTTCTCCCATACACTGAAAAAAAATGGTTAAATTAATAAACATTTATTTCAATACTGCCTAATGAATCATTTATTTGAAATAAATAAATATTTATCTGTTTTGAAAACGATCTTCTTACATCAAATATATTTTTCACATCAAATCAATATTATTAGTTTCAAATAAATGATTGAGATAAATATTGATTCGAATAAAATAAATTTTTTTTCAGTGTATAAACTAGCAGGATAAAGGATTATAAAAACTGGTTCGCCACACACCGAGTCGTACGTCTATTAAGAGTCGGCATCTTCAGTTTTGTTAGGGTACAAGAGACGAACAAAAAATCTCATGGGATGAGCGCCGCCATTTCTGCCACTGTGATATCCGCAGAGAGGGAGATATCGGGTTAAAATGCTTGAATTAACGTTTTTCAAGGAGAGGGAGTGCAACCTCTACATCGATGGTTCACGAAGTTTCGTAAACTTAACTGTCGCAGACGTTAAGAAAAAAAGAACCTCATGGGCAGCTCAGAGAGGGTTCCAATGAACGAACCCCTCAGCTGGAGGTCTCATCAACGTATAAGATCGTCCAAATCTTTCTTCTTTGTCTTCTTCTTCTTTAATCTATTGTATTTTGTACACAGTTGTGCGATCTATATGACATAAAACTTAATAAAATAAATTTCTAATGAACGATCAAAATAGCGCAGGATTTATTTTAAAACATTGTAATTTTTTGTCTTCAAAAAAGGCAGCATCGCACAACTGCTTCCTGTGCATGAATAAATTTGCTCGATAGATTGATGTTTTCTTTTCTGCACAAATACCTCTTTGGCTGTTTTTCCTCTACTTTAAGAAGAAATATTAGAAGTAAATTGTATCTATGGCGTTTCAAATTGAAGACAAATAAGGCACACATGTGCAAGATTCATCATTTCTATTGTATTCTATTGTATTTCTATTTTCTAAAGAATAGTTTTCTATACCTATACGACATATGTGGACTATTAAAGCTTAAAGCATCCATATATGAAATAAAAATACACAAAGCAAAACTGGTTATTGAGATGCTTACAAAGGTTCTTTTAAAATAAAAAAAAATTCTAAAAAAAAACATATTTTTGGGTCTCATTATTATAAAAAAACAGATGTCAATAAAAAAAATACAAAAGATGAATTTTAATTCTTTTTAGAAAAAGTTAGGTCAAAACCTTTTGCATTTTCTCACAAATTTAATTTTCTTATAAATATGTTTTAATCGTACAGTGCATTAAAAAGAAATAATCGCATTATTGACTCGCGCGCGTTTAATTTTTCGAAGTCTCCACGTATGCAATCGAGATACTTTCACACTTTTGTATAACGAAAGTCATATAAAACGTAATTCATTCCCATGCACCTTGAAAAACCGTCTGGTGAACACATGTCTGTCAGATTTTATCCATTAAGAAAAAAAGATACGCCTCTTCGTCGTGTGACATTGGTCACACCGAACGGCGAAATCTAAACACTTGCTAATATTCTTGCAATATAATAGTCTTTCAAATAAAAAATTATTCAAGTTTGGGCAAATTTCCAAAAATAATTTTGTTAATTATCAAATTATTTTACGCACATCAAAATTTAATAAAATATAATTGAAAAATTAAAAAAATATATACTGTATCAAAAATTAATAAAAATAAAATTAATAAAAATGTACTGTACATTTTATATATATATATATATGTATATGTATATACACAAATATAAAATATGGATAATATAAAAATCGTAGTTTTCGAGTGACGATATCTGCAAAAACGGAAGATGAAAAAAGAGAAAAAAATAAGAAAGTTTATTTAGAAAGAAATACCTTTATCGGCTCTTAATATTAAGAATATAAATATGATGTTTTTTAAATCGGCCAACAGAGCCAAAGCACGAAAAATTAATTATTCGGAACTGTATCTCTTGGTTTGAGATCACTAAGGTCCATATATAAATTAATCTTTATATATGGAACTTAGTGATCTCAAACCAAGAGATACAGTTCCGAATAATTATTTTTTCGTGCTTTGGCTCTGTTGGTCGATTTAAAAAACATCAAAGTTTATTTAGTTTTCAGCTTTTCTTTACCAGCGTCTCTCGTTGCGATGTTAAGAAAATAGTTTCTCGAATCGCGAGACCACCCTCATCGTTTGCGACACAAATATCGCACCGATTATTCGGCAATATCCGGAGCGGTCGTCGCACGCGATACCCCGAAGTCATAAAACTTATCGAGTCAATGCAAATCCCAAAATAAATTCTTTTGCGATGATGTATGATGCAACCGTTTTGCTCCGATTTTCGAAGAGCACGTTTTCTTATTTTCAAATTTATTCTAATTTTGTATTTATCACGTGTAAACGCGAAAATTTATTATGCTATTGCTTCGCCTTTCTTATTTAACTTGAATATTTAAATCTTAATTTATTTATTAATTTACATTTATATTATTAATAATGAATTTTTCAATATTACATTGAGATATATCTTACAATTAATATATATTTTATGACATGTTCGCGCTCAAGATTTCATGTAATTTATTGTCAAAAAAAAAAAACAAATTTATTGTTATGCTTATAAAATCACGGAAAAGAAATTTATTCATTGACTCGAAAGTTCAGATATATATATTTGCAGCACAATTGTCAACTGCGGTTATTGACAATACGTGTGATCATTTTAACCCTTAACTATAGTATCGTGGGGTCAAAAATGAGGTGTAAAAACTAATGTTGAATTTCTTATAATGATTTGATAAAAGTTATGTAATTATTAACAACACATCAATAAATGACTGATATGATTGATTGATGTCTTTGGAAAAGTGTATTATTTCATTTAATCAAATAAATAACCACAAAAATCTAAAAAGTATTTTGTGTTGGGGTCTCAAATGACCCCACAATACCAGTTAAGAGTCAATCTTTCCTAATCTCTCTTTTGTTACGGCCAAATAAAGACCTCACAAGTATTTGCCAATAAAATAAATATTCGTACATGACGATACAAAACATTTTGGAACAAGGTAAATATCGAGAAAAAACTATTTTTTGATGTAGCTACACACATATCTCTGGAAGATAGATGTACATGTATAGGTATATGTTATACATAAATATATATAATTGCCTTAAAAGGCATATAAATTAAAAAGATTAATGAGAACTTATTTTATTAAATCTTTTGCAAGATCTATCTTTTTTATTATTTTTTAAAATTTTCTGCGCTGCATAATATTTAAGAAATTTATTTCTTATAAATCTTTTAATGTCGCACAAAGAAACACTTATTGCAAAAACGTAGTTTGAACGTAATGTACATACCTTTTTGTGCGGCCGACAGAAGTTGATAGGTTTTCTACGGGAAAATGGGAGCTGCAATAGAGGATGAGGTATCATAACATGGATGATCTTCCTTTCAAGAGTCGCCATGATAAAACACCTGTTAGAGATGTTGCACCTGTTGCTATTCGAGAATTCCCTCTCTTGTTCCTGCAATGGCCGAGTCGCCATTTTATACGACGATCTTAGAATACGGGAGATGTTGAATCACCGTACCTGGAAAGCATATCTCATTAGTATCATTTTAATTTCCTTCTCCACAGATTCTTTCGAAAAAATTTCTATTATAATTATTATCATGCGCTGTTAATTATGACTCATGTTTTATTAATACAACTCATTACGTTTTTCTGTAAAAACATTGATTTATCGAACACGATTGCATCGGCGATTAGAATTTTCTCTTCTCTAAATATAATATCTATCCGAGATTTTACTGGAATTTCTTGGTTGGCATTGTTGTATTATATATATAAGTAAAAGTACAGTTATATATCTTATACATGTTGAAATGCATTCACAAAAAATTCTTACAATACGTGCTAAATCTATAACATATGTTCCGCATCAATGCACTTGTTAAAACAGCATATGTGGAAATGCTTCTATGGTACCTGATATAGGTGTATCTCACAAAAAATGCCAGATATACAATAAGGTAATATATGGATACAAAAACTCGGATGTGTATAAAAGAAATTTATATGAGTAAAAATAATGTTTTTTGTCAAATTATAAATATCGAAAATGCAAAAATATTACTTTTATTTGCATGAAAAATCGAGTTGTAATTATTCTCTATAAATATTTCCAGATATATTTTTTCAAGTTTTAAAAAATCGTGAAACTTATTAATAACATATAAAATCTTGATATAGATCTAACAATAAGTAATAAAATATATTTTCTCTTGTAATTAATAAGATATAATATCTTGAAGATTATTCTATGCTTTTCTTTTTTATATTTTTAATTATCGTAATATTGTTACAACGTAATTTTGGATACTGTGCTAAATGATAACTTATAAAAGATTCTGTACAAGAAAATGGTAGAATAAAACAATGTAAATATAATGTCGAAAAATTGAAAAAATTAAATTAATGCAAAACAAATCCGCCCATTTCTTGTTCGAGAAGTTTGGTTTCTGCTTATCTACATGATGTTACTAACGAGAAAGGGAGAAATATCGAGATTCTACCAAAGATTATCGCAACCAAATACTCGTTATCAATAGTATCTAAAAGAATATGTTATCTCTTTATGGCAGTAACTCCACAATATCAGCGCAAGCGATTGTGGATGAAAATAAAGGTTCTTCTTACTCGACCTACTTGGACAGGCCTAATGTAAATGAAAAAAGAAAAAAATATATATTTTTCCTGCAAACCATTTTTCCTAATAATAAATCTAACACTACAGACATGTCAATATCGTTTACTGTCAGGTTCATCCTAATGACGGTCATGGTCATACAGCAGATGTTGCTATATACCAGATGCGAAGGCAGAGGCAAAATTACACGTATGAATTTATCTCACCCAGCGTATAATTCCCCATTATAAAATGTTTACCGATATATTATAGAGAAAGAGTACATCGTGAATTTTCCTCAACTAATTCCGACGATAATTTCTCATGTGGGAGGCGGATATTAATTTTGTCGCATCCCCGGGAGACACCTTGTCCTTTACGTCACATTTCCGACGCAGAAGAAGCAGCGACAAGGACGCTTTAACCTGCAACAGTCCACGACGTCAAGATACAAGAGCTGCTCTCGGCGATTAAACTTGCGAATCGACACGCGCAATTAAAGCCGCGTTAATATCGTTAAACGACGCGTACTCGGGACACAGTATTGCGCGCACGTGGCCGCCAAGAGGACCCGCGAAGGTCAGTATCCTATTCAGAAAGAATTTTCTCTTAGAATTTACCCTGAAGATTACGGTAGTTGTGAAACAATATAGAAGAATTTTATAAGTTCCTCTGATAATATTTAGCACAATAAAAAATACTAATATGTACATACATAGTAAAATTAATCAAACATATTTCATATCTTATTGTGATAAATATTAATATTTGTTATTGTGGTAAATTCTGTTATAAAATATGGAAGAATTTTATAAGTTTCTCTGATAATATTTACCACAATAAAAAATATTAATATGTACATACATAATAAAATTAATCAAACATATTTCATATCTTATTGTGATAAATATTAATATTTTTTATCGTGGTAATTTATCACAAATCTGAAGAATCGCATCCTTCGGTCATTCTTGTCCAAACTTTACTCCTTTAGTCGAGCTTTACAAGTACACGGAGAGGATTTTCTCTTAGAATTTATATTCTGAAAATCATGGAACAATAATCGTAGGACAATATGGTATTAGAAGAATTTTATAACAAAATCCTCTCCGTGTACTTGTAAAGCTCGACTAAAGGAGTAAAGTTTGGACAAGAATGACCGAGGGATGCGATTCTTCAGATTTTTATTGGTCGGTTATTAGGACCTGCAAAGAAATTTTAGAAAATTATGGAAGATGCGCTTTTAGAAAGCCAGAAAACCAGCGCGAGCTTGGTCCTCTTTGATCAGCATTGGGTATTATTTTGGTATTTGACCGCGTTATTTATCGGCCTGCCTATTGGCGATCTGATTTTCGATTGGACCATCGCCAGGACTCGACTTACCGTCGTCTTGATTCCCGGAACGGACGAACACATGAATATTCATCCGCTAATACCGTCGCGGGAGTATATAACTACTCCTGAGTCGTTTGAACAAACCTAAGCTAACATAAGACAAGATCAAATGCCTTGTGTTACGACAATCGTAAAGCTTCGGGGCTGTAATTATATATAGTGCACGGGAGGGATATTCAATTTTGCTGTCGCTCAGGCTTCCGAAATAGAATCTTTAATCGATCGATTCTCCTCAGAGATCAAAACGGAGAACAAAGACGGCTCCGCGTTTCCTCCAGCTAAGCCACCCTCGCGGCCAAATAGGCGTGGCGTGGCGTCGAACGAAATTTTAAATCACGGGCGAAGACGAGGAAAGTTGGAAACGCGGAATTTATAGACATTCTCAAAAGAGCTTTCGTCCGTCACAACAAACATGTCGCGGCGGATCCAACACGGCCATCCATCAAGCGGCGAACGATCACGTTTATTCATTTATACCATAAAAATCGTCGACGACATTAATTTAATTTGCGTGCGAAAATACATCTTTACTCTGCGTGATTTAATTGACATACATAATTCCCAGCAAACACAGTATATAAATGTTATTATATACTTAAGCATGTTACATGTAACGTATATGTTAGTTGTAATTTCCCACTTATAGATGTAACATTTTTAATATTACATATATTACATTATAGTTATATTGTCATTATATCCTAAGATAGCACTGACTTATCAATACATCAATGTGCTATTTGGTATATAATTACAATATAACTACAATGTAATATATGTTATATTAAAATGTTACATCTATGAGTGGGAAATTACAACTAACATGGATGTTACATGTAACGTACACGTTATATTACCTGTTATATTCTGTATTATTATAGCAATGTAACAATTATATATCGATGTTTGCTGGGTTCTTTGTTTCTTTTTATTTCTCTACAATATTTTGCGATTTCTCGATCGAGATATTATTTATATTTATGTTAATTATTATTTTATCGCTTTTATTATTGTCTATGCAGGATATATCTTACGCATATTGTGTGGAATGTGCAAGAAAATTTAGAAAATTATTCTGCTTCTTTATTATAAAATACTCACGGTATTTTTGTTCCTCTCTCTCCTGTTGCCCCCTTTCTTACTCGGGAATGTACTTTTTACGTTGCTGTGCGGGCTCCCTTATTTTTGGCCACGTCGTAACTCTCATCTCACTGATTTTTCATCCTCGCTCAGCTTCCGAATTGTAGGAGCCTGAAAAATGTCGATACGTCACTTTCCCGACACAACATTTCGTGATGATTAAATCCAGATTTGCGTAAACTTCGCCTAAAAAGGGCCATAGACATAATCGTTTATCATATATACATACATGATTTATCCAAAAAAAGCACACGTGTTGGAAAATAAAATTTAAAGAATGATAAATTTTGAAAATAAAAATGTTTTTAAATTTTCAAGATATTACTTTGCAATTACAATTTATGAAGATGTTTTAAAATAATTAACATTTCAAGATTCTCCATTTGAGATTCCCGCAATCGCGCATTCATAGTCTTCAGCATCGTTACATCGCAGAGAAGTCTTCCGTTTTTCCTCCCCACCCTCGCCACCTGATCTATTTACACACTCATAGCTACCCACACCCATATACACATGTACACACACATACGCACACGTATACACACATACATATATTCTCAATTTACATATTTCCCCTCTTTCCATTTTCATGGGTGGGGACAAAGTGATAATCGGGACCAGTCACACTCGTCGTCGGAGGCGGGGTTCCTGAGGCGCAAGAATCGTACGGGGCCTTCTTCGTCAGACGAATAGTAACATTCAAAGAGTAAAGGAAACGACCAAGCAGCCGACAGCGATTGCGACACAAACAGGAGTTTCGAGACTTTTGATCGCGCGGATTACTTTTCGAGCATCGCGTCGGCTCTCGCCTATTAAAAAAAAAAATCGCTTGTAAAAAAAAAAAAAGAAATTAAAAACTCCGTGTCGCTGCGTGCTATATATATTTGAAAAGTGATCCCTCGCGTTCGGTTTTGCAGTGAAATGTGCGCCGGTGCGTGATTCGCGTGCTGGCGTAGCGGTGAAATAGGGTGGATGCGGTTAATCGAGGAAATCTGGTACTTGGTATCCGACGTCGTGTCGGATAATACAAGAACGTCGTCGTGTCACCCGCACTGTGTCGACGCTTCGTGTCTCGATGTGCTGAGGCAGCATCGAGCACCCGGAGGATGCGAGGAGCCGCACCACAACCGGCGCCGGCGCCGACGCCGACACTACAGCAGGCGTCCCAGTGCATACCGGTCTCAACAAATTACTGCTACATGCTGCGTAACGGCAACAACAATGTCAGCAACGCGGCGCATAGCAGCGACGGCTACAATTCCGCCAGCAACTCGCCGGTGACGTGTTACGAGAGTTTCACGCCGTCCGCGAGGCACCTGATGGATCTGAGCGGTCCGCCGGAGCATCGCAATCTCTTGTCGTCCGATTATCATCAGGTCACGGCCGATTACAGTCTTCCGCATGTCGTTTTCAAAAATCCGGAAAACTCGAGGTTCCATCACCACGACATGTATTCGCCTGGCGGCTGCGGCGCCGAGGACATTGTCTCTCCTGGCTCCGTCCAGTCCATCCACGGACAGTCCTACCATCCCGTGGATGGAGTACCCGTGGTGGAATACAAGGCGGAGGTAATAGAGTACAAGCCCGACGTGCTCGATTACAAGCCCGACGGTAGTATGGTCGATCAAGTTCCGAGGTACTGCAAGCAGACCCCGGAGCTCGGTCACATGACCGAACCGTCGTCTTCGTCGTCGACGAGGAGCTACGGCGTCGCGGACGGCAGATCGACTGTCAGGAAGAAAAGGAAGCTCAGCGGCACCAGCAACAACGAGTCCGAGGGCGAGATAACGACTGCCTCGACGACGAGAACCAAGCTGCGTAGAAAGAACAACCAGAGCGACGAGGAGACCACGAATCAAAGAGCGATGGCGAATGTCCGTGAACGTCAGAGGACGCAGAGCCTCAACGAGGCGTTCGCCGCGCTCAGGAGGATCATACCTACTCTACCGAGCGACAAGCTTAGCAAAATTCAGACTCTCAAGTTAGCTGCCAGGTACATCGACTTCCTGTTGCACGTACTGAAGTATAACGCCGATTGCAGCGATAGCTCTGAAAATATAGGTAATTTCGAGATTAGTATACATAGTCCCAGTTAAAGTGTAATTACACGTTCGTCAAAATACAAATACGAAGAGAAAGAATAAAATACACACTGAAGAATAAAATGTTACGTGAACATAGGTTGTAACATTAGCTTAAGGCGTTCGGTTCCTCGTCGCTCTTCGAAATACCTTACAAGCACGATTCGATTCAATGTTTACAAATACTTTCTGAAGCAAACTATTAGCCGATTCTCACGGATTCTTTGCGGACCAGTGATTTGTTTCCAAAACTTGCTCCGAGTCCTTCATGATTCAGATGAAAATATGTATGTACCCACGACCTATGTTTATACAACATTTTTTACAGTCGAACTTTCGCATTCTTAACATCTCTTCTTTTTTTCACACTTCCGTATTCTTTTCGCCCATTCTACGCTTCTTTCTCTATACTTTGTATGTTTTGTATATTTTGTGCGCGCATAATTTTATTTTATTTGGGAATGTAGATGAGAATATATATTAAGAATACGGAGGCTTGGCTGTAGTTATTTTAGTGTGTATAATTTGAGTAACCATCTTGCAGCAAAGAGATGCTGCAAGCTTACGGTACCGACTACACATTATTTGGAGAAACGCTCGAGGATTGTCTCCGTCGGCACCTCTTCCGAAGAACGGTAGGTACGTGTTTACACCAGCTGAGGGTGACCCGGGCTTGTTTACAGCACAATGTAATTAAACAGACTCCCGCCTGCGGATTTCTGTAATTTACATGCTATGAACGAGCCTTAAAGGAGCATTTACGTCGTGTAAGTGCTTTCGAATGAGCTCTCTCTTCATATATCGCGTCATCCTGCCTGTGTGTTTATTGTTTTCTTAAGTTATATAGTTATAATGAGCCTGCGGATTCTAGCTTTTAATATGTAAAATAATAAATATGCGGCGCGCACGCGCGATATATTTTATTATTATATGCATAGGATATTCTAAAGTTATATTGATTGAACTTTATGAAGTATATTCTATGGGTTAAAATAACTTTATATATAAGTGAAATATTATAGATAAGCATTGGCTCAAAAAATGTTCTCATCAAAAAGTTAAAATAAAAATATCAACGTGAAGATATTAGCAGATTCGCTATTGATGTAAAAATACAACAATGTAAGAATAAGTCGGTATTATAATCTATTTATTCTAATTATATGCTTTCTTTATTTCAATTCAATGTTTACCCATAGAAGACAAAAAAATAGTGTGATATTAAATTCAATCTCTGCATATGATTTTAAGCTCCATCGAAGATGGAGAAGTCATTTTGAAATGAAAAGTTAAGCCAACGTATTATATTTCATCTTCTTACTGTAACATGTGATAATAAAACATTTTTGAACCAATGTCTATATAAAATTATTTAATAAAACGAAATAAAAAAAAGAAACTCGACTGTCTATTAAAATTCTGTCTGCAATTCCGACTTATCGCCAACCCTGTGAAGAGAGCACAGACCTATAGATTGTTTATTTCATTTTTATCTCAACCAGAGAATGACACAAGCCATCCGGTACATGCCAAATAACGCAATGATGTATTCGTAATTCTGATTAAAACGATATCGAGATCGAATGGCCCGTCGTGTTCTCTTGACTTTTGCGAGACGGAAATATTATACATACCGTACGTTTCTTTTATTCGATTCGCTGTCTCAAGGCATTTCTCGTGTCTGTTACTCCGATGCCACTGCTTCCCTTTTATTTTGAAACTCACGTAGAATTATCGCGTACAATATCTCTCTGCGACTTCTCCTCTTCAATTTCTTCGTTGGCTCTTCTCTGCTCTTTTATATCTCTTGTCGAAATACGAGACTCTTCCTGAAAGAATAATGTGAAGATTAAATTTAAAAATTCCGTAATTCATAAAGATAAAGTAAGTGAAAACGTTCACTTATGAGAGCAGTTTTTTAAAATTAGTTTTATATATAATTATAATAATCTCGAATTTTTTCTTCATCATGTTCAGATGTGCGGAAATATTAAAATGCATTGTTTCATGATTCTTTCATTTTTTTTGAACAATTTACAGGAGGAAAATATTCGATCGTGTATATATTAGATGATTTTATATACATTTGATGATAATGAGACACATTGATAAAAATTTTTGTTTCAGGGGAGAGAGGCACCAGAAGTGCGATAATGGCTGCGAGGGAGATTGCTCAGTCATCACCCAGTAGTTTTATGGCACATGAAAAATTATCCTACGCTTTCAGTGTTTGGCGAATGGAGGGTGACTGGAATTCGAGTTTGTAAAATATGCGGCCATATAGGATAACATATAATTACATTAAAATTTAATAAGGTAAGATCGCGAGATAATCCTAAGACATTCGTATTAATTTAATATGTACATCGCAAGAATATCTTGTTCATCAAAATATAATAAGTATAAAAGCAAATAACAGCAAAGATTAGAAATTAAGAAATAAAAACGAAAAAAATGAAACAGGATGTTCCTGCGACTTTGCTATGCACGTATATGTTACTCTCGCCGGTTTTTTTTTCGTAACTATCATCTTTCGTCATTTATCAAAGTAAATAAATTATTATAATGTAAAAAACCGATCTCATAAAGTAATATACATACACGCGTTTACAGCGCTCTCTTCCGGCTCGCTTTTGAAATCTAAATCGCGGTAGTTAATTCCTGTCCCCGTTAATTCGCGGCCTCTCTCTCTCTCCTTCTCACTCGCAATATAATGTAAGCCAATAATTTACGTCTTCTCATCGGACTATTAACGGCGCGACAACTTCTCCGTGTACCACATCGCATCGTTGCAATGCGCGCTTATTAAACGACGCCGCGTCACGCACCTGCATCAATCAACGAAATTATCTCTTCGCGAGAGCATGGCATGATGGATCTTTGTCTCTGTGTATGCTCGCGGATTTAAACCGACGAACAACCGGTCTTGTTACGCAAGTGTATAAATCATTGTTGATTTTTGTCAAAAGCGCAAAGAAGTTGTTTTTCATTATTATTTTTCATTATCGCGGGGTATATCTCGATAACAATAAAACGACGGGTAATCGATTATTGCTGGGAGATTCCCTCACTCGCGCATTTTCTACTCTTCGTTTTGGCTACCTCTCGAAAGCACGTCTTGCAGCCCGTTAACGCCAAATTTACGAGCGTTTACCCGGTCTGTCCAAACAATCTTTTTGCATACTTGATTTATTGAATCTTATAAGCTTCGCTAAACTTGCTTTCGTTCACCGCGAACTTTCACCGCACTAAACTCTGCAAATTTCATAATTTTTTATAACACAGCAAATATTTGCATGTACACATATGTATACATGTATGTATGTATAACTGTACATAAAAAATATTCGCGAAATATTTATAAATTATATTTAAATTATTACAAGATAATCCAAGAAAAATGTAAATGTACTTTGCAAGTAAATTTTAATTTTTCATGTAGAAAAAAACGATAACTTATAAGAAACTTGCCTTATAATAAACTCACCTTCAAAACGTTCACCGCGAACTTTCACTGGTAGATAGCAAATTTCATAATTTTTTTTAACACAGCAAATATTTGCATATACATATATACATGTATACATAACCGCATGTAAAAAAAATATCTGTGAATCATATTTATAAATTATATTTAAATTATTACAAGATAGTACTCCGAGGCAAATGCAAATGTACTTTGGAGGTAAAGTTTAATTTTGCATATAGAGAAAAATAACTTATAATAAACTTGCCTTCGAAACGTTTACCGCGAATTTTTATAGGTAAACTGCAAATTTCATAATTTTTTGATAACGCAGCAAATATTTGCATATACATATATACATGTATATATATAAAACCGCACGTAAAAAACATTTGTGAAATATTTATAAATGATATTTAAATTAGTACAAGATACTCCGAGAAAAATGTAAATGTACTTTGCAAGTAAATTTTAATTTTGCATGTAGAAAAAATGATAACTTATAATAAACTTGCCTTCGAAACGTTTACCGCGAATTTTTATAGGTAAACTGCAAATTTCATAATTTTTTGATAACGCAGCAAATATTTGCATATACATATATACATGTATATAAAACCGCACGTAAAAAACATTTGTGAAATATTTATAAATGATATTTAAATTATTACAAGATACTCCGGGAAAAATGTAAATGTACTTTGCAAATAAATTTTAATTTTGCATGTAGAAAAAATGATAACTTATAATAAACTTGCCTTCAAAACGTTCACCACAAACTTTCGCTGGTAGACACCAAATTTCATAATTTTTTTAACGCAGCAAATATTTGCATACACATATATACATGTATATATAAAACCGCACGTAAAAAAACATTTGCGAAATATTTATAAATTATATTTAAATTATTACAAGATACTCTGGGAAAAATGTAAATGTACTTTGCAAGTGAATTTTAATTTTGCATGTAGAACAAATTATAACTTATAAGAAACTTGCCTTATAATAAACTTGCTTCCGAAATGTTCACACCACAAACTTTCGCCGATAAACCTTTCAAAATTTTTTTAGAACGCAACAAATATATGCATATAGATACACATATATATAAAATCGCATATAAAAAAACATTTGTGGAATATTTATAAATTATATTTAAACTCTCTGGAAAAAATGCAAATGTACTTTGCAAGTGAATTTTAATTTTGCATATGGAAAAAAATGACAACTTAAAATAAACTTGCTTTCAAAACGTTCATCACGAACTTTCGCCAGTAAACTGTAAATTTCATAATTTTTTTCTAATTTTTTTCACAGTAAATATATGCATATACATATACTCATAACCGCATGTAAAAAAAACATTTGTGAAATATTTATAAATTAATTTAAATTATTACAAGATACTCCGGGAAAATGCAAATGTACTTTGCAAGTGAATTTTAATTTTGCATATAGAAAATAATAATAACTTGTAATAAACTTTTGAAAAACACTCATTTCACACATCTCATCTTTCTATATTATATTTCGACGCGATTGATCTTCGATCATGAAATATTTAAATTAATTTCGCGAATAAAGTGAATTGCCTTAAATGGATTTTTGTCACGACGCGAAAATACAACTTATACTTTAATTTAATTTTTTACAAGTAATTAATCGCCGCTCGTTTACAATATATCGCGGGAAAAAATTAGCTATTATAGCTCAATTTTAGCTGTCCCTGTATATGAATACACATGAAATTTAGTTATCATGCCTAAATATCAACTACTCTCTAAATTTCTTGGAGTGAAAACCGAACAATCTCATTCCAAAAGAAAAGTGAGATCTCACTCTTTTAGAGTAAAATTCCACTCTTTTGGAATGAGATTGTTCGGTTTTCACTTCAAGAAATTGAGAGAGTGTCATAGCTAAAATTTAGACGCGATAATTAAATTTCGTTTCGATATTGGGACAGCTGAAATTTAGTTAAGGTAGCTGATTTTTTTCCATAAATGTATGTATTTTTCCTCACAGAGAGGACGATCGTGCGTCCAGTCATTTGATAATTCCCGGATTCGGGATCGTCTTAAAGAAACAGTAAAGAGAGAGGAACAAAGTTAACGAGTATTTTGGCGCCCATCGGACGGGCACAATATTATTTTTTTTCCTCCCAAAAGATGACAGAATGTGGCCCCCGACGTCGGCTTCTTCTCATCGCGTATTCGTAATATAAAATATCCGTCGCAACTTCGGTACTCACACAGCACCGTGAATATATATTCCCAGTGACGTTAGTTATTTTAAACCGGTCAAAGCCAACTCTTTCGGCCACGTTTTTGAGCAGCTTAACGAAGACACGCCACGTTAAAGAGTCGCTCCCCGGCTCTTTATTCCGGCGTTGAATCTTGGTGAAAAAATTAAAAAAAAAAAAACGTGGTCGACAAGATGAGAAAAATCGCGATTTCAGCGCGGATAGATATGATAAAATTCTTTTTTTTTTCTTCGAAATCATCGGGATCGAGTTACTCTTCTACTTTTTCCAATCTTATATTTTAATGGCATATATACGCAAGATGAAATGTTTCGTTGCGCATGTTTTATTTACTTCCTGACTTTACGTATGGTCAAATGTGCCAATATGTAGCGGAAAAACAGCGTCAATAAAGAATTTCATTGTATAGAAACCATTTACGAAACAAAGTTAAAATAATATGATGTTTACAATTAGATAGATGAAGAAATGTTATTATGTGATAATCTATTGTTAACATTGTTAACCATAGATATATTAATGTTTGCATTTGTTAATAAATGTATATATATTAAAAATAAGAAAAATAGCCTACCAAAGATGCTTATATGTATATGTATATACTTAATGAAGAATATAAAAATACGTAAATGTAAAATAAATTACAAATTAAAAAATATTTGTACATCAATCGCACAAATAATATTTTATATATATATCAGATGTATCTCTATGATTTATGTATATCTCTATTATTTTGGTAAAAATACAGAATTATTATTAATTTCAAAGAAGCAGAATCTTTTCTTTGTAGAGTAAAAAATAATTTGTGGAAAAATAGATATACAGAGAGAATGTTCTCTTAGAATTTAGTCTGAAAATCATGGTATAATCGTATATAGGACAACTATAGAAGAATTTTATAAGAGCTTCTCTTTCTCTCTCTGATTAATATTTACCACAAGAAAATATATACACAGTCAAATTAATTGAACATTTTTCACATCTTATTGTGGTAGATACTAATATTTGTTATTGTGGTAAAAATATAATTCTTCCAATAACCATATTGTCCTACGATTAATGATGTTCAGGGTAAATTCTAAGAGAAAATTTTCTGTGTACGAATATATATTGTACGGACACTTTTTTTATCGAAATTAAAAAAGAACGTCGAAATTCGTTGAGAGATCGTCGATTTTCGATTATCAAAATCTCACGAACGTTTCGTAAACACACACAGGACGGACGTTTTGTCAAAGCAGCGACAGATGGAACTTTGCTAACGCGGGAAAATTATTTTTGGGGATACCGGCAATTATATCAATGCGAGAGGAGGAGGAAGATGAGGGCTCTTTTCGGATCGTCCTTGAACGCCCGTCGTTGCTCGACTTGTCTAGGCCTCCGCGAAGCAAAACAGCTGTCATGGTCATTCTCAACATCTTTCTTTTGCCACCGCCATCGCGAATGCATAGAATATCCAAAAAAGAGTCGACACTCTCGGGAAAATCGTGACCACAATTGTCAAAATAAGTCGATTTCAGAGCGGTAAAATTACCTGGAAAAGTCAGGCGAGCTGTCAAAAAAAATAGTAAATTAATGCAAGTGGAATTTTAGTTTTCAATTTGTTCAAATCATAGTTTTCACTTTGCAAACTGACAATTTTAAATAAATTAGCGCTGAATTAACAAGACGAATTTCAGGGCAAAGAAATTCCCTGGGAAAGTCATAGGCGAGCTGTCAAAAAATAGTAAATAAAGTGGAAATGAAATTTTAGGTTTCAATTTGTTAAAATCATATAGTTCCGATTTTGCAAATCGACAATTTAAATAAATTAACGCTAAATTGATGGATTTATATTGAAATTTTCAGCGTTTGCGAGGCGGATTTTTTTAATACGATCAAGTCGATGCATCGCGCGGCGAAGGGGCGCGTCGGGTTTGTTTTTATAGGAGGGATTTCCCGAAAAGGGAGACGCCGAATGTTGGATGTGTGTCTTGGCTAATTGAATTCAAAGAGATTTATGGTCGGCACCGGCGCGTTGCGCGACGAATAAAAACGACAGAAGCGCGAGCGGCGCGGTTTCTCGCTGTCGAGATTCCTTCTCTTTCTCGCTCTCTGGACTGTCGCCCTGGCCGAAACGTTGATAAATGTTTTTACCGGGCCAATTAACGTTAGCAGACCGGCGAAGCAATTTAACTTGTGCTTACCGGTTACTAATGCGCGAATTTTGGGAGACCGCTGGATTTTATCGCTTAATTGAACGCGAAAGCGTTAATTACGCATAAAAGTAATAATAAAGCTTGCTCGGAGATGTCGATATAATAACAATTGTGGAGTTCATTAATATTCATTATTTTTACTATCTTAGTTCTAATTTGTCATCGTTTATTTTATATTCACGTGTTTTTTTTGTTGTATTTTCTGTATAAACATATACTCATAATAAGAGTTTCCCTGATTAATATTTACTACAATAAAAAATATTTAAAAAAAAATTAATCGAACATATTTTATATTTTATATTGTGGTCGATATTAATATTTTTTTGTGGTGTAAATATTAATCACAGAAACTTTAATCAAATTCTTTCAACTTCATATTGTCCAATAATTATGATTTTCGGGGTAAATTCTAAGAGATTCTCTCTGCGTATACTTTTTGCAAACATTTATGCTACAATTATCGGTTATTAATCGCGCAAATTTTGGCTTGCCTTATCTCGATTAATTGAATGCGAGAACATTAATTGCACGAGCAAATAATAAAAACTAGCACAGAGATAACAACTCCACACTTGTTTTTATATTATTTGTATTTAATTTGTAATTCCTTTTTTATATATTTACGTCTCTCTTTTTTTATATTTTATTAAATATATACGCGTGCATTTTTCGTAAACATTTATTAATTATGTACGTTTCGATTTATGTGAATTTAAATATCTGCCTAATTAACAATTTAACACAAATTACTATATCGTATAGTTCATTACATTTCTTCGTCTATTATAATTCGAAACATTAATAGATAGATTTTAACTTTCCAAATAAAAATTTTTTTTAAATATACGTTTGTATGTATACTTACAATGTTAGCAGAATATATAAAATTTAAACAAAACCAAAAAAAAAAAAATGACAAGCTGTACATTCGCAACATTTTACGATTCAGTTTAAATATATTTTTTTACACTACCAGATAGCACACACGAAGGTATTGTATACATATACAAAATGAATCTTACAAAAAAAAACTGTTAACTTGACTAAACCCTTCAACTAAATATTATTTTGTTAATTGGACATATAAAATATTTAAATTAAATATGATATATTAAATCTAACACAATACGTTTATATATATTTAATTTAAATACTAATTATGTTCAATTAATAAAATAATGGATTTACTTGAAAGGTTAATCAAATTAACAAATTTTTTCAGTGTACGAGTACAATTTGCAGCAAGAATGTAATAATTTGTTATTCCTATGAAAGCCGCGAGCGTTTTGTATATCTCGAGTTAATATACACATGTATTTTTTTCTTCAATTGCATATACGTGCTATTACTATGTAACGGTCGTATATAAATAATAGTCTGTAAATATCTGTGTGATAGATTTTAACGGAGCTTTGATCCATTCCGTCGATTCAATGTTACTCTTATTTTGCTTATTTATTCGAGCGTTCTCGCTCGTACAATTGTAATGTATGTACAATATTTTTATACTCATCCTGCAAAACAATAATGAAAGAAACGAAAGATTATGAAAACAATATCGGAGTAAGATTTTTCTCTTTTCACCCTCCCTTTAAATCAAGCTGCTCTTTTAGCTTCAACGTACATAGTCTTGCAGATATTAAAAAAATGTTTTAATTATAAATTCTCCTTAATTATGGATAATTTCTAACAATTTTGATGATGTCAAGGATGCATGATAAGCGTCACAGGCACTCTGGGATTATAAATTGGAAAATTCACACGGGATTGTGAGAAACAGAAGGATAGGTTCGCGTGTGAAATAGACAGAGGGAGGCAAAAAGAACGAAAAAGACTCGATAAATAATTTATCAAACTCCATCCGACGACGGCAGCGACGGCCTTAATGGAATTAGACGTGCCAGTGCAAATATTATTGCAAGCAACGGACCTGAACAGAGACGCCCAGCTCGCATCATTGGTCCAAAGCCATGTCATTGTGTTCTGCCTGGACCAATCGTGTAAGATCGAATGGGATGCTGGCTTTCCTCTCTCCGCTCTATCATCGCATCCAAGGATGCTGAGAAGCGCGAGAATGAGAAATTGCAAGACTGTTTTGCTCACTCTCTCTGCCAACTCGGCTACTTTATATCGACGTCTAAGTTCGAAAATTAATCAGACTCTGATGACAAATTCATTCCTCATGGTCATTTTAATAAATATTTTCTCTAAAAAAAGTTTCTCTGCTTTACACAAATTAAAAAAACTCTAAGTTGTATGTATAATGCACGAATTTTAAAACTTTTTATCGAGTCTTTTTATCTTTTTTTCGATTTTTTCAAAACTGGACAATTTTATATAATTAGCGGGAAAAAATCAATTTTTAAATTATATTTTAATACTTACGCATTTGTTGCACTTCGGGAATTTATGTATCGTTTTATCATCTTTATGAGTAGGTCGATGAATAAAGATTAAAATTCGATCTGAAGCAGGTCGATGCATGAAGATTGAAACTCAATCTCGTGCAGGTCGATGAATGAAGATTAAAACTCGACTTCCAGCTGTAAAAAACACAACATTGCATTAGTCAAAATCTTCAATTAAACAGAGTTGAACATCAACAATTACTATTGATACAGAACATTAAGATTACGCTAAATGCATAACATCGGACGTATACATCTGCGTTCTGTATCATAAAGACATATCCGACATACGCGTGACGAGTATATGTAACGACAAGAGTACAAAAAACAACGCAATAGCGTACGTAACAGTGACATTAAACATTGAAACTCGTAAAGTTGCTCGCTCCGGTATAATCAGCGTCTGGAACCGCTGGAAGGATTTCTCTCCATCGGCTTCGCGAGTTCGTAAATAAAACGTCATGCACCGTGCATGGTAGGTCGCTATGTTTAGGCGCAGTTTCTCAGATTTCCAGGATCACCCCGTGAGAGAAAGTTAGACAGGTCTTCCATTACTGTTATGAATCTCTATGCAATATGATCCTGCTCCGACAATAAGAAAATAAATTCTTTCAGTTTTGATTATATATTATAATATAATATCAGAATAGTTATTCTGATCATACATCTCATTCTATTTTTATATACAGTCAGATTTTAAAATTATTACTGCAAATTTCCGACTCAAATTCAATTTCCTATTCCTATATAATAATTACTGTTATGGATCTCTATATGCAATATAATCCTGCTCCGACAATAAGAAAAAAAATTCTTTCAGTTTTGATATATTATAATATAATATCAGAATAGTTATTCTGATCATATATCTCATTTTATTCTTATATTACAGTCAGATTTTAAAAATCATTACTGCAAATTCCCGACTCAAACTTAACTTCCTATTCCTATATATTGTTTTATCTCGAAATGCTCTGTATTGTTGATCACAATCTTTATACGCACAAAAAATTAATTACCTCTGCATTGTGACTGGAGGTGAAAAGGAGGAGTTTGATGAGAGAATAGAATCGCGCCAAAAAGTGCAACGGTCGGGATGAGACAAACAGCTGTTCTCTGTCTTTTCCTATTAAATTACCACAATCTCTGTTACTCCTTTCGGTCTCCGCGAGAATGATGAATCGCCCATCGTTAGTACCAGTGGAAGTGTGCGCCCTTGCAACTCGTGTGTGTGTGTGTGTGTGTGTGTGTGTTGTGCTCCACTTGCATATACATATATATATATATATATATTTATATCTGAATAGGGCCAACTCTTTCCCCTCCTTCTTCCGCGATGGCGCGCTTATTCGTATGCCACGACGAGGTTTTATGCCGGCAGTAAACCGTTCCGCGCTGGATTATATGGCACTCTCCTACGACGAACGTGGGTAAATACTGTGCGAGGAACCACCGTGCCGGGGTTCCGGTGCGAATCCCGGTGATAGGGCAACCACGTGGACGAAGAGAGGCGTCGCCGAGGATAGAAATAGAAATGCGCGAAAATCCATCGGCAGGGAAGCTGATGGCTGAAGTACTCGAGTAAACCATCATCCGAAGAGACTACACAGAAGAAAATAATAATTAGTTCCATTAGTCCAATTAGTTCTAGTCAAGTTAATAAAGTCATTACAATTTTTTATACATGATGAAATATATTGTAAGTATGATGTTGAAATATATATGATGATGATTTTATGTATATATATGATAAAACCTAGATAAAATATCTTCAACTGCTAATATATGGGTCCACAGGATTTTTTCCAGGATGAGAGAGCATAATTTAAATTTTTCTGTTTTTTTTTTGCTCTTTCTTAATTATTTTTATTTGATTATTTTCATTTTTTATATTAAATATGCAAATAAATTCCAGTGTTTTCAGATTTATCGGAGCAAATCCTCGTGTAACTAATTGCTCGTTCCTTCGAGGGATTTGCGATGATACAAAACAATCAAATTTTCTAACACTGTTTAACTCACCTCGACTAATTGTCTCATTCTGGACGCGTCGACAAGGCGCGTCTTGTTAAACTGACAAATCGGATCGCGCCGATTCTGGTCTCGATAAATCACTGTCGCGATACAAGCAATACTTTTGCCAGGGCGTCACGTACGTTTTCCTCTTCTTTTTTCCCCCGAAGACTCGAACAAGTATCCAGCAGCATCGCGACACAAACTCGCCGCTGGCAGCTCATTAAGCCGCGTAATGAGGTCGTCCCTACAGTTAATTATTTCGGAGCTCTTTTCTCATCTCTTCTTTTTTCTCGCTGTCTCGAGGCATCGTCGTTTCTCGTCCCACCCATCGGAGAACGAGGGCGTAAAACGATTCCACGAACCATTCGGCTCGATTGACGACACTCTAAATCACCCTCGCGGGAGGGTCATTATTTCCTTCATTTCCGGTATCGAACGGATGCATAAAAGCTCGACTTTTTGAATTTCGATTCGTGACCGAACTGAAGTTCGCCCGATGTGTGGCGCCAATAAATCGAATTACGTCATCTCGAAAGCTGCATTCGCGTGGAATACAAATCTGAAAGCAAAACATTACGATTATTTGATTTGAATAATATTCTGACAGCTGCATATTAATTTCGCAAAATAAGAAAATCTAATTTTACATGTAGTTTACATTTTTTACATATAATTTTATACATAATTTCGCATACGTGGGCATCCGCAGGATTTTTTTCAAGAGGCACAATTAATTTTTTTTGTTCTTTCTTCATTTTTCTGGTATTTTAATTTTTTAATATTAAATATGCAAATAAATTTCAGTGTTTATTCAAAAGGGGAGAGCAAATGCTTAATTTTTTTTACTGATCTCAATACATTTTCTCTTCGAATTTTTTCCTGAAAGTCACGGTAATCATGAAACAATATATATATGATATTGAAATAATTTTTTTATACGAGCTTCTCTGATTAAATATTTACCACAAAAATATTAATATGTACATAGTAAAATTAATCCAACATATTTTATATCTTGTGTAGATATTAATATTTATTTATTATTTGGTAAGTATTAATCAAAGAAACTCTTTAAAAATTCTTCCAATTGTCGAATTATTCCACGATTAACATGATTTTCAGGCTAAATTCTAAGAGAAAATTCTCTCTGTGAAGAGAGGACAAATGAGGACACTCATAATTTCCCGTGAAAAAATTGTTTATATATAACAATATAAAATTATATAGAGATATATAAAATTATACATATAATCGCAAAATTATATATGAAATATATATCCATACATAATTAGATAAAAAATGCTTTTTATATATAATTATATAAATTTATATATGAACCCTTATAATTTATATATATAAATTTACATAATTATGTATAAAAATTGACATGTTTCACATATAATTATTATATATAAAAACTTTTTCCCGGGTTCATATAACATTACTGAATTAATTTCTTTCAAGAAGGAATACAAGTATTCTATTCTACAATACATCAAATGCAATTACCATATCATTTTCCTCTTCTTGTCAAATTAAATAACATTTTTCTCGGTTCATAAAACCGATCATTTCAATAAGAATGTATCGAATATGCGTGACATCCTGTCGCGGACACATGCATCTTATTTACGCAGGATTCGAAGCGAGACCAAAAGTGTCCTGGCGCCTCTCCCGATGATTTACATACGTAAGGGGCGTTATAGATGCGGAAGGGTGTTGCCAGCAGCAGCATCCGAGGGTGAGATTACAGATGCAGCTCCTCGAAGATGGAAGAACGGCTGCATGGCTGCGACTTCCTTATTATTCCGTGGTCGAATAAATTGCTGTTTGCTTCTTTTGCGGGATGTTTGCTCAGATTAAGACGGATTACATAAATGCGACGATGACATAAAAAAGCTACATCACGTTCGCGACATGTGGCCAGTTTTTGACAGAAGAAAAATATAATAAAATATAAGAGCGGAGAAAATATAACGGGATTGCGAGATAAAACCGGAGCTTGGCAGATGTTACATAAAGTTCATCGAGTAAAATGAAAACGAAACGATAAGTAAAAATAGAATATATCATCAATCAGCCTATGTTAAATTTAATGAAAAAACAATTCTTGAATATTTCAAACATAAAGCTGCAAGATTTGTTAATAAAGCGCATTTGATATAAAAAAAAATACATGATATAATAGTCGTATAATGTATAATATAAAAGTCTCAAGTGTTTAAATACACACAAAAGTTTAGCCAAAAGTTAATATATACATTGCACATGCAGTCGCAAGATTTTAGAAGAGTTAATGTATACACGCGAGAAGAGAGAAAACGTTGCCATGCCCCGATTTATCTGCGTAAGAAGGAATAAATACGACATCGGTTCACAGGATATGTCCTTCCTCCCGAGCGCACTTGGACAACGAAGCATTCAACGCGGATTTCCAACAGTTTACCGAAATGGTAAACCGCGCTCCCCGATAAGAGAATGCTTGCTGTTCCTTTATTTCAACTCGAAGCGAATTAAAGTAATTTATCTCGCTCTTTTGTCTCTTTGATTCGCAAAATGTAACAATATTCCGCTCTAAATGTTTCAGATTCATTTATCTTTGTTAGTTATTAATTATCAATTAGATATGATCGCTTCTTAATTTTAAAGAGATGAAATAGAGAAAGAGATTCGTCTGTTCTCACTCTCTGTTTATTTAAAATTTCTATATATTGTCGTGATAATTATCAATTATCAATTAAATATGATCGTTTAATTGTAAAAAGAGAGAGAGAAAGAGAATCGTCTGTTCTCACTCTGTTTATTTAAAAATCCTATATATTGTCGTGATATCGCACTCTACAATTATTTTAATACAAAAAGATTTGCCTACGTAAAAGAAAAGAATTTTTTTACAATGATATATAACAATCATTATGTAATAAATTCTTTGTACAAAATTCAAGGATTTTAACTGAACATTGTGTTCTTTTTTTCATCTCTTAATTCTCAACATATTTGTGTAACATTTCATTATTTTTATATGCACACATTTATCTTCTAAACGTATAATTTAAAAAATCTGTGTGCACAAACTTAAAAATGATATAAATATTTTTATACTGAAATAAGTAAATATATGTCTTAATTCTATAATTTTCTACAATAGAATATTAATTCTTTAAAATAAATGAATAAAATTGGATGTGATCCAAAGGATTGAACGGATGTTGGATCTTTAATGAGACCATTTGGAAACATCTCAAGTAAGTAAACTATATTCCACACGCTTAGCAATAATAACATGTTATATTTACATTATTTTGTCGTAATTATATTATAATTACAATATTTATGCATGTTTACACATATTATGATAGAATATGTATAAACATACATGTACATGTATATATATATATATATTATATATATATAAGCATTGTAATTATCTTATCACTGTTGGAGGATTACACATAATAAAATTCAAAATTATGGTTCGTAGAAATAAGTCATCAATAAATATACAAAAGTTAGTTTCACTTCAGTACGATTAAATTATAATTTAACATTTATCCAAAAGAAAATTATTATAGAAAATTCGATTCTTTCTTTCTCAATATTATATAAATATAATACATATGGAAGAGCGTAAATTTACCTGCACATATTGTAAACACTTTTCTTATGTCAAAAAGAAAAAAATTTAAATGGAAGAAATTCACGTTATGTCAAGAAAATAATTCTACGAGCCATTTAAAGAATATATAAATGAAAAATATATTAACCCTTTTGCTACAGCACACTTGAGACTAAAAGTATTCAATATATAACAAAAACAGTTACTATTCTATGCAAGTAATTCATGAAACATTATCACTTATGACGCAAAAGATATTAGCAACACAACATTAATATTTAACAGTTATAATAAATTGTTCTGAAAACTTTTGTGTCTGTAAAAAAATTTGCCATATTACTCTACATTAAGATATATATTATTAAATCAAACTATTTCACACAATGTTCAGTGTTGCTCAATCTTCAATTGACAGCATATGTGTAAAAATAAATATAATAAATTGATTATAATGTACGGATGTATGTATATGTTTATAAATGAGTTTTTGCTTTTAAAAAGCATACACACACGCTTATAAATGTATACACATGTGCGCATATACATACATACGCTATTCGCGCCATAACAAAAAGGTTAATTCAAACAATTTTTTTAGAAAAAAGTCTCAAGACAGTCACTGATGATGCAATGAATACATTCGACAAATGATTGATTTTTGTTATAATTGTATCGAGATTATCTCTATATATGATGTATGTCTCTTCGTTCTTACAATATCTATTTACAAAATAGACTCATTCAATGAATGGAATAAGGCTACCAAGCTGTAATCTGATTAAATTACATTTTTACTTACTCTCATTGGCACATTGTAGAGTGCAATAAATTTGTGCATTTCTATCCAAGAGATTTTTTTGTAACAGGACTAGGCAAATGTAATTGCGTAAAATTGCGTATCTCTCTCTCTCTCTCTCTCTCTGGATATATTTTGACTCTAATTAAAAGTGTAGAAAATTAAATTAAAGAATATTGCAGCACCATAAGCGAAGAAACTGAGTTCCTCTAATTACATATTATACTAGAGTGCAAATCTGATATAAAAAGGCAGGAAGCCACTACGATTAAATTGTTTCATCTTTTATACATCTCAATTGAATTAAGAGAGGTTCCGATGACTCTTCCTCATTGATGAATAGCTGAATAGAATTCACGGATATAATACAGCTTATATCTTACATTCAACTTTGATATAAAAAATCTATGAAACTATTCGAAGGTTCCACTGGCAAAAGTTTTTCGAAATGTGCGAAACCGAATACCGCACATATTCGAAAGAGAGATTATTAACAGGCAAATATTTTGGGAGCTTACTACATTTTTCCTCTTATGCTTCTCATCGTTTCAAAATGTATGCATACGATCGTCATGGCTCTCCCATTTCGTGCTCGTTGTGACTTGAAATTTAGATTCTGATTTATTCCATAGCTATACTCCTCAGTACATATTTCACTGTGTACGCGAATGCCGCGAAGCCGATGATAACAACGAGATTGGCCAATGCGCTATGCAATGGGCTCTGCTCTCTCTGCAACTGATCTCGTATCAAGGAAGAAACCTCAGATGCGGTGGATTGATGCCTCGCTTGCTTCTCGAGTTCTTTTCGACGTTCAAGCTCGGTTTTGATCGTCTGTATTATTTATCGGATGAAATTTCAGATTAGAATATTGTAATTTCGGTAATAACACATCGATATAACAATTTACATGCATGTTTTAAAGTGTACAATGGAATACCTCAACAGTTTCTGGAAAGAGCTCGCAGAACATCTTGTCCCTCAAATTGTATTCTAAACTCTGTGCAGCTAACTGTCTCTTCTCATAATCTGTTGTATTAATGCTACCAAGCGTCGGACTTTTCTCAATCTGCAAATACAATATTATTAAGCCCACAAAACTTCAATTTTCAACAACACTCGAGTTATTTCTAGATACTTAGATATAAATATTTACCATAAAACTAAGCAAGCCTGTAAGGATAGTAGATACACTCCACGCTGGATTCCATGTATCAGGATGGAAATCGGAAATGGATAGACATAATCTTGTGTTGACCTTAAATCGACCATTTGGAGTAGTCATATAAATGCTAGGCGGTTGGAACGGAAACTCTCCTGGAAATATGAGCTTCCCATGATAGAAACCGCCTTCGTATGGAGTCTTTTCTGGTCCTACAACCACGTAGTGCCTAAAACAAATAGTTTATGTATGTTATTACTCACTCTCTACTCGAAATCAACAAAAAAAAAATCAAATCAGACTATCGAAATCTAATGGCTAAAACACTTGCCATTCTAATATATTCGAAGGCACTGGTTCCGCAAGGACATACGGTACTGGATCCTTTTTGAGTCGCAAGTAATCCTGTTTCAATCTGGCCGTTGCACTATTGGTTTTCCTATTCATCCTTACCATACAGCCCACTGTTATCTCCGAATGGACTCCCAGTTTCTTACACTCGTCGCGGTATATTGGTCGCCCAGCTTATCGAAAATCTTCACGCGATTTCTCACACTTAATTCTCGCTTAATATCCAACGATATATATCTGACACCCCTTCGTCGCTGTCTCAGCACCGTTGAATCACGAAATGTTTGCGCATCGCAAATTTCATGTAGAACCAGCTTACCATGAAGATGGAATTTCTTCGCGGAGTCGACGTCGCCAAGACTCCTGAAGATGTTCACGTAGACGTAGACGTCGCGTATGACAGGTTACGTTGTGCAAGATGACGTGCAACAAGATGACGATGAATCTAAGCTACCGTTCTTGAAGCCACTTGGAACGGAAGATGCTGGACGAGAGATATGTTTCCGGGTGGGATCGTGCGATCGTTCGCTGGTGCACGGAATTTGACAGCTGCGAGTTGTCGCGCGACAACGGAAAACATATGACGAAGTTCACCGGAATCCAATGAATTCGTCCGCTTGCGCGCAGTGTTACCACCACTGGCGGGAAAAACTGAAATATTTCGAACAAAATTAATCGAAAATTATATTTTGCAATTATTTTTTTTTTTTTTCGAAAAAAAGAAAAATTGTCAGTAAATAGAGAGAGTGCAGTAAAAGTGATATTTTTAGGCCAATACGAGCTTTCAAATACTGATGTTTTTGTGAATATATCATCTCTGGAATTATCTATAACTACATTTCTAATTAGAAAATTAGAATGCATCATACTTTTCTTTGCATATGCAAAACAATAAAAATTAATAATTTCGTTCATATATTACTGTACAATAATTACTGTATATAATAATATAACTACATAGATAAAATTAATGTATTACAGCTATTACATTAAATTTTTTTATATATATAATAACTCTTGATATATAATATATAGAACTTTTTGCTTATTAAAATAAAATATTTTATGATTTTGATATTTTCTCAAGTTTTTATGCTTACAAAAAAATATAGTAAATTCATATTTTCATTACTTTGATTTTTTTGTTTTTATTCGTACATTATTGTAGAAAGAGAGCCTTATCAATTTATTAACTATTTCAAACTTTTAAGCAAAAATTACTTTTTTAAATCAAATACTTAGATTGAATGAACAAGTATAAAATTTGAAAAATTCAATTACATATTTTGGATAAGATAAATGCAGATGAATTAGATTATCGAGATATCAAATAGTTCCAAGAGTCTCAGAAATTTTCAGAAACTGTGTTTTTCATTGGAAATTGGGTGGATGCATGATTTGTTAATATTTTGTTGACGTTTAATCAATTACTAATAACAATTATAATTAAATATAAATGTAACAAATACCATTTTTTAATTGACATATGATTTCTTGCTGGTATCATTATTCTTCCACATTCAAAAACTATCTTGTACAACTTAAAAATTGTACGTCAACAAATATTATAAACATCCAAGTAGTTAAACATTTGTATGATCAATTAGTTTTCTATACAAACATACATATGTTTGTTATAGATAACTGTCAAACATTTTATAATTTTTATCACTGTTTAAATACTGATGTAAAAATTATTCTGCACCTGATAATGGCAATAACTTTTTATGTCCACAACTTGAATGACAATACAAATACTAGTTTGTAATTTTAGGAAAGGACAGAACAGAATGAGAATTGGCATCTGGCAAAATGAAAAACTCATTCATTTTAGTTCTCTGCTTCTTCCTTTTCCAACATTTCAGTTTTGATTTTCTACAACATTCAAATCATAATTTAGAAAGACAAATTTAATAATGATATTCAGTCTTATATTTAATAATGCTATATCATCGCAGGATTTTTTCCAGAGAAGGTATAATTAAAATGTTTTTGTTCCTTTTTTGTTCTTTTTAATTTTTTAAATTTTATTTTAATTTTTTTTCTATTAAATATGCAAATAAATTCCAATCTTTATTCAAAAGGAGAGCAAAGACTTAATTTTTTATTGATTCCAAAGGGAGGTAAATGCCCCCTCTTGTCCCCTGTGGACGCTCATAGTCTATATATATAATTTGTGTTTGTTCCATGTTATAATTACAAGAGTAATACCTTAACAGTTTTAGGAAAGAACCAATGAAACATTATGTCCTTGACTGTATTCTAAACTTTGCATAGCTAGATGTCTCTTATCATGTTTTGTTTAATATAACATCTTCCCAGTCTCTTCATTCTGTAAACAAAATTAGAAAAAGATTACAAAATCTATTTAATATCTTTTTAAATATCTTTATAAGAAAGAAATTTATACCATAAAACTAAGCAAGCTCATAAGGATAGTAGTATACTCCACACATCCATTTCATGGATTTCAGTGGATTCCAGAATGATGATCAGAAAAACACCATTTTTTATTGACATTCAATCAACCATTTGGTGGTAACATATAAATGCCAGATGATTTAAATGAAAACTCATCTGCAAATATGATTTTTCCTTGATATCCATCTTTGTATGGAGTGTTTTCTGATCCTATAATCACGAAGAGCCTAAAACCAATAGCATTTATATAACTGCTCTTGTATGCAAAATCATGTACTTGTTTGAATAAACAATCTCTTACCATTTTAACAGATTGATAGTCTGATTCTGCAAGAATATATGGTATCTCCACCTGGAGATGTATCCACATAATAGTGTTTCAACCTAGCTATTGCAATGTTGTTTTTTTAATTCTCTGTATAGTGTGCAGAATCCAATATTCCAATTATCTCAAAATACCTTCACAATATTCAATTCTTTTACACTCTTGCGAGATGAACCGGTGAATGTCGAAGAGTGATATCGTTATATTATATCCGACAGGCATCTACATTGTAATCGTTCGGAAGGTAAAACGAAATCCAAATCAAGATTTGTAGTTGCTTGACGCGAAGGTCATCAGATGACGAGACAAAAGTCTTAGCAGAGCATCGATGAAACTAAATTTGACACTGGCGAGCTGTCACGCGGGAACGTAAAGAGAATTACACTCTGGGCGAAGTTTGTCCGGTTGTAGTTTGTCCAACTACTGTCTGATGCTCCGATCATCTGTTGATACTAGTTGCCAATTCAAACGCGCTTACGTAACGCCGTATTGTAAATGGAGCTTAAGATCCGTGACAGTCTCCGCCTCTCACCGTCCTCGGGATAGTAGAATCACAAGTTCTCTGCGCGATTGTTGACATTTTGGTTTCAAATGTCAATGTAAGTCCAATGGTTGTCTCCTGTTGCGGATAATTTTTTTTACTTCGTGGCCAGATCGTCGATTGGTAGCTGCTACTTATTCGTGCCAGATACTATGAGTTCGTCGATATCCATGAATAATGCTGGATCACCGGTTCCTGCCACTGGGATGGAGACGGTGGTCGCAGTTGCATTGGGTGCATTAGCTGCAGTCTTTCTCGGTGCACTCCTGGTACTGTTGGTCATCTGTCGCAGGCAGCGTTGCTATTATGTGAGTTTGATGACCGAATCGATAATATCAAACTGTGTCCTAAGAAGGAATAATAATTTGCTCCATTTTATTCCCAGAATCAAAAGGATTCCGCAGAGCTAAGTTCTGATCTGCTCGAAGGAGAAAACATCACTGGTTTAGGATTGGATGTATGGGAGAGCGAAGAATGGTTGGCAGGTGCTGAAAGGTACAAATATAATTATTAACAGTGAAAGCATTATACTTTAATATAAAGCAATCAATAGATATAACTTTATATTCACATTGGCTTATTTTTATTCAAATTTGCATTAATTTTCTGACATGTTGATAAAATTAACTATAAAAATTTATCAAAATAGATTGTTTGCATTTTTATTTTCTTACGTGAAAATTTAACACGTAGTTAATTAAAAAGATATTTTGACATTCTAGATGGGTGGATGATGCTACTGGTTTGGCTCCACCTTGCATAGCAGTGCTTCGATCTTGCCACTCTCTTGCAGCCAGTCTCACTACTATTGCAGGAACTGTCAACAGTAACACTGTTCCATTGGAAATAGTAGATGTTTGTATACTCATTGTGTTTCTTTTTCTGCATTGTTCCTACCTAAATTCATTGCATTTTGTTCTTACTCAGGTTGCCCGACGTATACCACCTCGCGTAGACGATGTTGTTCGCAGTCTGTATCCACCACTAGATGCCAGGCTGCTAGAAGCCAGAGTGGCAGCTCTGGTATTGGCTGTGACTCACTTAGCGCTAGTAACCAAGCATGGTGTGCCAAAGAGTCAAGCCAGGAAATTGGCATTTATTGACCAAGCCTTGAATGATATGGACACGCATCTACTGGTCTTGAGAAATGCAGCGTTAGCTCAGGAAGTTGCCTGCTCCATCCCAGCGTCTACTCCAGTTTGAGAATACATCTCTTTCTCAGTAAAATCGAATCTCTCTCTTTTCACGCAGTATTTGTAACTACAAAACTCAAAAGTTGATATTTACTGATATAAATTCATCAGTACTTTATTTCGAAAGTATCACATAAAGAATATATTTTTTAATGTCGTTTAAAACGCGATTCACAAGAATCGATATTTTGCAATACACAGAAATATATGTGGAAATAGTGTCTTCCATATTTATATTATTCCATAGTTATATTATCATAGTTAATTATATATGTATACAGATAAAAATGTATTTTAGGACTATATAATCAATCGTACCTGCGTATGTTTGTACATGTTATGATATTTTATATTCTTGAAGAGAATCAAATTATTTTATAGACTAATAAGAATTTTTAATAAAGAATTTATCTTATAAAAGAGAAATTGTTGGTTTGATTTTTTCATTTCTTTTTTTCATACTTTCATATCATGGCTCAAGATAAAAAAATTATTTTATCATTAATCAATCATCAGTAATTTATTTAAATTCAATTTGTAATATACACGGAGATTTTCGAAATTTTCTAAATTTCTACTGTGTCGCGAATAATGCACCACAACCACCAGTTTGTGGGTTGTCAAACGGAGCATCCACAATTTCGACTTAATACTTTAATAAATTAACTAAGTAATCTGACCGATCGTCACTGACATGCTACCAAACATTCAGTGATGATTAGTATGTTACGATTCTCTGCAAAAAAATTTCTATAAATGGAGGCATAGTGCATTGGAAAAAGAGATAAATACAGTAAATCGTGCAATTTCTTATTATTTGCCCCGATTCAACTCCTTTTGTCTCTTTTGGTTATCTGACAGGACTTTGTCTTTGAGGTGTTCTTTGTAATCCAAAATGTTGCCACTCCATTTTGTAACCGCGCCATTTTCACACACCCAAATTTCTTCAGCAACCTACACATCAGACGTAGAAAATATATATCAAATAAAAAACAGAGCTACAAAAAATACATACTTGATTAATCAATCTAAAGTCATGCGAAACGAGGACCATGCCGCCGTCAAAATCGTTAATGGCGTCAGCGAGCGCATCAATTGTTTCCATGTCCAAATGATTAGTAGGCTCATCGAGCAGCAACAGATGAGGCACTTGCCAAGCCAACCAGGCGAACACGACTCGACAACGTTGACCGTCCGACAGTTGACGAATAGGACAAATCTAAAAGAAGTAAAATACAATATTACATATGCCAGTTCTCAAATAAAAAAAAAAAAAATAAAAAAGCTATGATAAATTTTGATATACCTGTTGACGCCCGGTTAGACCATAGCGACCGATAATCTTTCTCATCTCCTCGCGCTCTTTGACCTCGGGGAAAGCCTTCATCATGTAATCAAGAGGCGATACATCCAAGTCCAGCAATTCGTGCAAGTGTTGGTGATATCTGCCGATTCGAAGATGACTGTTTTTGCGAATCATTCCGCTTGTCGGCACTAACTGTAACGTGACATTGCTTTATCAGAACAAAAAATCAAGTGGCGAAAGATTTATAGAATAGAATGTGTATTTACTGATACATACATCACCATATAACAGCTTCAGCAGCGTACTTTTTCCTGCTCCGTTTGGTCCAACTAATGCGATTCTAGTATCCAAATCAATTCCAAATTCCAGATTCTTGTAAATCCAAGGCGCGTCCTCGTTGTAACGGAAACTAACATTCTGAACCATGATAACCGGCGGCGGAATCGTTCCACAGGAAGGAAAATAAAAGTTTAGCACTTTGTCATTGATAACTTTCTCCGTCAGACCTTGAGCCACCATTTTCGCTAGAGTCTTCTCTTTCGATTGAGCCTGTCGAGCTAATTTCGCCGAACCATGACCAAACCGTGCAATATAGTTCTTCATATGCGCGATCTGATCTTGTTCCCAGTTATATTGCTTTGCTTGATTTTCCAGTAACTCCATTCTAAAGGAAAAGAATGATGTAATTTTTTAAAGACAATATTATATATAAATATAAAAGCCAGTCTTTTATCTTTCGCAGCTTACCTTGTTTTAACAAATGCCTCATAATTACCAGTGTAATATTTTAATTGCTTTTTATTCACATGAATAATATTGGTGCAAATTCCGTTAAGAAAATCTTGAGAATGAGATATTATAACGAGAATTCGTTTGTAAGTTTTAAGTTCTTCCTCCAACCATACACAAGCATCCAGATCGAGATGATTGGTTGGTTCGTCGAGTAACAATAGATGCGGTTTTACATAAAGTGCTCTGTAAAAAAAGGCCAAAAAATGTTTTACAGTCTATAATATACATAAATGTTTTTTGTATTCAACTATATATATATATAATTTCACATACCTAGCAAGTGCTATACGCATTCTCCAGCCTCCTGAGAAATCTTTGGTAGGCGTTTTTTGCATTTTTGCAGTAAAACCCAAACCATGTAAAATATGGGCAGCACGAGCTTCCGCTGTGTCGGCAGCCATATCATCTAATCTCTCATACACATCCAGCAGTTGTTCCTATATTTTGTGTATAAAGCATTTTTTGTAAGTAAAAATTGTTCGACTATGATAAATATCACTGTACAATTTATAACAAACCTGAGCATCTTCTTCGTTGCAATCTACTAATTCTTCAGCAAGTTTCTCTAATCGCACACGTTCCTCATCAACCTCCATCACACATTCCAGAGCTGTTTTATTGCTTGCAGGCATTTCTCTAGTCAAGTGAAAAATATCTATTTGCTGTGGAATAGGAACTTCACGGTTTCCTAACACTGCCAACAATGTAGACTTTCCAGAACCATTTAGACCTAATAAACCATAACGTCTGCCACAATTCAATTCCAACATGGTGTCTTGCAGCAGTTCACAGCCATGGAAAGTAATAGAAAAATTAGATATCTTTATATCTCGGCTGCGTGGATGCGAAGCTAATGATCCAGTACATGAACGTGCTTCCGCGTTGAGTCTGGCATCTGCCTCCAATTTCAGACATAACGCCTCTGCAAACATATGTTATCATATGTATGCAGTATATGCCAACACAAATATTTGATGAAATAAACATGGATAGTTGCAAATAATTTAGAAGATAGCTACTAAGTTTATGAAGTTGTATAAAGTTTTGTAAATAAATTGACACTATAAGTATAGAATAATAAAATGAAATACAAATATCAAGTATCAATTATAAAGATTGAATATATTAAAATCCATAACTTTTCAAAATGTCTAAAAAATAAATTATTTTATATCGTAGAGTGTTCCTTATTCATTTGCAATGCATGACAGTAATTTTTAAAACATTCTGAAACTAAAAGCATTGAAAAATTAATTCGTACCAGAGTAAAAAAGCCAAACTAAATACAAATTTGGAAAAAGCAATGGCATACATCTTTTTAAAACAATTTATGCTTTAATTTCTCAACTATTTCCTTTAAGACATTGTACATAAATAATACTAAACAATTACTCAAGTACAGAAGAATATTGAAGCTTTCTCTAAAAAATAGATAATAATGCCTAATCTTTCACCTACCCTCGGCGCTGATAGCCGTGCCGTTGGTTCCATTCTGCAGATTCCCCGACGTTGGACTCTGCTCTTTACTGTCCTCAGCTGATTTCGTCTGATTGTTGCTCTGGGGCGGTTTTTTACCGGACTGCCTCGCCTTCGCAGCCTCCTTCTTCTTCTGCTGCTGCTTCTTCTTCGCGTCGGACGGCATCGTCTTCCTCTTTCACCTGTAACCTATAATTTCATCAATCGTTATACTTTTTTTCAAGAACTCGGGGGATATAGACGACCTAATACTGAATCGGTCGCGGTGTTCTCGCCGTGTTACGTAAGCCGTAAGATCAGACACATTTTCGTGAACACGCGTCAACGAAAGGAAACAGTTCGCGAACGAGAACGCGAAAATGCTCAGCGTTATGTCGCATCCTGACCATAAACGGCGAATCGTTACACGAGAGGGCTCAAAACTCACCTCCGGATGGAACCGAAAAAACACTCGATCTCGTTCGCGGATTCGTCGCGAAACCTTTCAAAATTATCAGACGTATGATTTTTCTCGGCGATTTCGATCGCGCGAAACGGCACCCCAAAATTACCTAAATGTGCGCCAAAAAACCGGACGTGCCGTGCGACAGGCGAACACACGTGCATCAAATGTGATGGAGGCAAACCGTCAAGTTAACATCATGCCTGTCAAGTTGACGCATCGATGTCGCCACATGTTTCGTTTTCGACCGTCAAATGTAATATGTCGATTCACAGATGGCGCCTCGTGTACCGTCTGACATTTGAGCCGCACGTGGCTGCGTGAGCTGTCAAACGATCGCTGTCGTCTGCTAGATCTCTGTCTACTAGAACTTTGTTGTCTACTAGATTCTTATACACTTATAGAAATGCGCATCACGCTGAAATATTATTAGACTTCTAAGAATATAATGAAAAAATTGTACATTTTTGCAATTTCGATTGTTATTGTGATTAAAGTAAAAAATAAAATAAAAAAAAATAAAATTTAAAAAATTAAATAACAATATATATATATATATAAACGATATGAAAGGGAATTATGCAAAAAAGTATGTAGTCAAGACACGTGAATAATGAATTTTTTATATTACGCATTATCAGAAATCTTTAATAATTATATATGCTACATCTCTAACAAAAGTGTATAGAAATCTAGCAGAAAAAAAATCTTGCGTTGACATATATTTGTAAGAAATATCAGAATTCAGAATATAACTGTAAATTGTAAAATTAATGAAAAATACTATTAAAATATTAATTTTTATCTTATGTCTACAATGTTAAATTTTACTTTTCAATAGCAAAATCTCTTAAAAATAGTAAAAATATTAAAAATAATATTACTTTTCTTATATTAATCTTCATTCTAAAGTATAATGTAATTCATTATAAATCATATAAATACCAAGTACAATTGTTTGTACCAAATACAAACTGTCAAATAATTTTATATTTAAATTAATTTCATTATTATCTTTTTTACTGATTGTATTAGAAACTATAAGTTCATGCGTATTGTAAATTTTAATTGCATATAGAGAGAGAATTTTTTCTCTTAAAATTTACCCTGAAAATCATGGCAATCGTGGGACAATATTTTGTATTAAAAGAATTTTATTAAAATTTCTCTGATTAATATATACTACAATAAAATAAAAATTAATATCCACAATAAGATATAAAATATGCTGGATTAATTTTCCTATGCACATATTAATAAAATTCTTCCAATATTATCCCCGGATTCCCATGATTTTCAGGGTAAATTCTTAGAGAAAAATCTCCCCGTGTAACAATAGTGCTTGACCGTACACTAGAGTAGTTAAATTTTTTGTAATAATTGCATTA